TCCATCTCCAATTGAACTTCTCATATTTCCTCCCTCCCAATTTCCTCATTATTTATAGCGCAATCGCTTTTAATTTTATACCATTTATCGTGGGATGCGATTCATTAATTTTTTTTGAGCATTCTGGCTCATGAGAATGGAGAAAATCAAATTTTTGAGAAAATTCTTTAAATTTTATTTAAGTTCGCTAACGCAGATATGGGCTAACTCAATTCATGTCAAATTGAAATACGGGAAATTATTGCATCATCATTTACTTTATTCTGTTTGTGTCTTACTAACACGTACAGAAATTTCCCTTTATTTTTTTTATTTTTTTTCGCCATTACTGCATTTAAAATTTTTAGGTTTACTCTGCCCCACAGAATATTAAGTCTCTGACCAGTTTTTATTATAAAAATTCTACCTTTGAATTTTTCATTCCGAAAATTTATCAAGCAGATTGAAAATAAATCTCAGGTCACTCCATTTTTTTTTTTCCAAAAAATTTGAATCACTCCCAAACAAGTGGTGAATTTTTAAATATAAAAATAAAAAATATGTCAATACTAGATATTGTTGATAATATAAATAATAAATATTTCACGCGTGTTTTATATATCCGTTGGTTTAGGCCACACCGTAGTTCAGTTACGCAACATGATAATTCATAATTACGCATGCAAGAAACGAAACATGTGAGAAATGAAGGCAGCATAATAGATGCGATCAATCGCGTCATACAGGCATATAATCGCGATTTCCCGCGGTTGTCGCGTTAGGATCATAGGTCGACAGCTCAGATATATCCAAGAAAAGAACTGAAATGTTGAAGCACCAAAACGAAAATGGGGAGAGCCTAAGAATAGAACCTAGAGAGAGTTTCGTTACTTCGATTTGCTACAACCTCTCAAAATCAAAGATTAGTCAAAAAAAAAAAAAATAAAAAAAAAATAGAGAAATACAATCGGTGTTACGTAATTTGGGGCTCGCCATGGTGTTAATCTACGCATGAGCCTTCACTCATTAATTACGAAAAAATTCCTAGTGCGTATGTTCGTGTGTAATATTATCGACGACTCGTGCGAGACAGTTCCCCTTCCTCATGGCCATCGCCACATACGATAAATCTACGTGGCCGATAGAAACCTAGAATATACTGTATGTTCTTGGCTAGACACGAACACTAGAATAAAAAGTTTTCCCCTTCAATCCACGTGGCAAACGTGCAAATTAAATTATCATTATATATTCTAGTATTCAACGATTTGTCACGATATATTTTGTGAATGTCAACGGGATAAATGAACGTGGAAATTTTTCGACGGGACAATAATCGATTTTGAATTGTCCCGATATGACTTCTTCATGTAGATAAATAAACAGGAATAAACCAGTTTGAGTAATTGACGTAGTTATTAGGAATATTTTGAAATTCATCACATACACTCAATTCTAATTCCGCCAATTCTCATTCGAAGATAATTATGGATTAGTTATTTTGAAACTGGATGAGGATTAATATTCATTTTAGCCTTGTAAATAAACAAAAGGGAGTTAAATGATTGAATTGCCTTTGCAGTTTTTACATGTGATTTATCCCCGCCAATGGAATAATCAACACTATCCACTCCCCCCTTCGCGATATTCTATAAAAAACGAAAAAAACCAAAAAAGCAAATTAAAATCAAAGAACCGAACAAAACAAAACCCCAAACCCAAAAAAAAAAAGACAAAACATTGTAGCGTGATAGTAAATGGAGATGAAGACAAGGTGGACAGACACCTTGTCTCCAACACGTGCATTCGCTGATTCCCCTATATTTTATTCTCCCACAAACAAGTACTACCTGGTATCCTTGATTTAATCATTCAGCTTAACGTAAAATGCAACAAACACATTGCCACCGTTGAGCATTTATTTTCCTGAAATAATGATAGTGCAAACTCGAGAAAAAAACTTGACAATATCCACGTTGAAAAATTATGGTGAGACAGGAACAACTGGGGCTTAGATTTGTTTAACCCAGTTTGATGTTTACAAATGTCATTACAATTTTATTATTCATACGTTCCTGCACTTTAAAATCAACTTGACCCTTGACCCTTGAAGCTAAGAGCAACGAAAATATTGAAATATCAGGAGTGATGAGATTTTAGTTATTTGGAGCACTTCACTTATATTTTTACTGGAAACCCAATCCCCAAGAGATGATTATAAATAGGAATCAATCGGACTTGAGTTAATAATAAATAATAAATTGACTCGATATTTGCATTAATGAGGAGCTGAATGGCAATGGTGGGAATTTTAATCTACTGACTATCACGAAACATAAAAAATATGAGACTCATATTATCTGGGAAGTAACTTGATGGTTCAAAAGACCGACCTGTTGCGCTCGTCCTCAGGTATTGATAACTCAAAACTGAAGTTAAATAAACAATAAAAATTAATAATTCCAGTGCTCCTCAATTAATAAAAAATTCTCCAAGTACCATAATTATGATTTTTTCAGATATTTCATGAATTTCATCAAGCCTTTCTCGATTGTCGTCTCGATTGTCGTTTCGATTGTCATCTCGATTGCACGTAAGATCTTGTCGAACCGATTTTCCAATTATTGCAATATAATTTCTACCGATGGCCCCAGTAACTTATGTCCTCTCGATTAAAAACATTTTAACATTAATATAAATATTTCCAAGAGGTACACCCTCGATTCCGTTGGTTTCCGAAACGACAGACTCTCAAAATAATTCGTACAAAAACTTGGACAGACACCAGATTCCTGATTCTATTACCGAGAGAATCGGCTTGCCCTCATGTTCACTGGGCCGTCAAACAATTGAACTCAAATGGCATGAGGAACCCACCGGTTGTTCCTTAAGAATTTCCCATGTAAAAACATCAAAACCAAAAAGAAAAAAAAAACCAAAAATCTCGTCGGTACAGTTGCGGTCAATTTTACCACTGAGTGCAATGAAGAGAAGAAAAATAAGAAAAGAAGCCGTGGAGGAAAGAGAGTCTGACGAGTGTGGAATAAATGGCACGCGAGGTCATTGCCTCGAATCCAAAGATTTGATCGGTCTCTTTCTCTTTCCAGACCAATCAAATCGCATTCCCCATCCCCCAATAAAAATACTCAATTGAATATTTTCATTTTTCCTCATGAAGTAAACGCCTGCAAGATAATATACCGTTTATCGCAATGAGACAATAAGATGACGTACATCTGAACTCGATGTACTGCATCACATGTACGTTAAATAAATAATCAAGGAAATTCAAGTCCTGTGTAAGAGTGTGATCATTACGTTAGCGCAATCCTTGGAATGAAATAGCAGTTATCTATGAGATACCAGTATATATACATTAAACTCACTTGCATCACAATTAAATACGCACGAGTGGAAATATGTCTCTTGCGCTTAAAATAGAAGAAATTTTTTCATTGTCGAATAAATTTTTCAGTCATGGAATAATGACACAGGAGTGAGATGCATCCTTGTGACCAGTTTGGAAGATTTATCTAAATAATTATCACCTGGTGAGCCATCGGAAAATTCGCGAATGCAATTGACATCTTTTTGATTTATAAGATGTTATTCAATTGATAAAAATTATGAAAATTATGGAAATTGTGGAAATTGTGGAAATTGTGGAAATGAAATTTGTGAAATAATTTGGAAATCATTGAGGGATCATTGAGGGATCATTGAGACGATGGATAGAGGTTGAATTATATCCGTGAGAAAATGCTCGCCTTTGGAGGATTTCATCTAGAGTGGCAACGTGGTGGACTGCAGTTGCAGAATATACATCGAGAGATTGAGGGGAAAGGGCTACAGCACCGAGATGTAGAGGAAGAGAAGCGGCAACGACGCGAGTACGGAGTTGTGCAAAAATAACGCGTGGAAAACGCGGAGCTCTAACTCGTTACATATATACATGTGTGTGCACATATGTAAGAGCACCGGCTGAGCCGGATCACACCCATCCAGCGAGTTCATTGGAAAATTTCGTAGGTAGCCAGACTTGTCTAGCATTTTCTCCACTCCAACCAACTCTATCAATCCATCAATTAATTGCTCGCAACTCATTGCAATTAATGATAATGAATTATAATAGGTAAAGGCTCGAGGAGAAATGAAGAATATTGTCGACAAATGATTTGCCAAATTATTTTTGCGGTTTGATGGGATTGAATGCCCAAATGGGGGAATTGGAGAATTTGGAGAGCTAGGGAGTTTGGGGAATCGAATGGCTAGGTAACTGCGCCATTTGAAAAATAAAAATATTGGAGAAAAGAGTAGTTGTTGAAGAGCAGGTTTTACCAATCGAGCAACTCTGGAATCGACGACACGTGCAATATTCTCATTGGTAAAGTTAGCGGAAAGTTGGGTTTGTCTTTGTCGGGTGGGAATGCAGATGCTAAGAGACGACCTTGGTGTGCCGTCCGCCTCTGGCCTCACCTACCAATCATTCTGAATGTGTGTACTGCCTTCTAGTTGGCTTTTTTTTGCGCGTTTGTCGTTTCATTGCATTAGTACAACCAATTTTCCACGATTTTTCGTTCTAACTAGCCCTTCATCAGAATCAAATCGTTAAACTGTGGTTGGTAGCAATACAGCGACAACTTATCGAGGAAGTTATTTCAAGTATTTACTTGTTTTCATTATGTCTAGGTTTTTTTTTGAATTTTATGGTCTCGACACACCTGTGTGGTTGGATTTTCTTTATCTGACGCAATGTCGAACTTTCCCTCCACTCGGGGAAAATTATATTCTAAATTTACAACAATTATTCATTCAATTCCTTGAATATTCCGGTAATTATGAGTTTGAGGGAATAATTTCCCTGATTTTGCTTCGAGCATGAGAAATTCACAGGAATTTAAAATGAAATTACAATTGTCACCCTCACAAATTTTCAATTGACCACTAAATCCCCAAAAATGATTGAATCCAACAGGTGCTAACGAATTCAAAATAATCGATAAACTCCAGATAAAACTTACCTTCCAGCCAGCACTACTGTTGCTATCCCCCTTGTCCTTAAAATACGGTACATTCTGCACCATCCACTCATAAATCTGGGAAAGTGTGAGTCGCTTCTCAGGTGCACTGGTGATGGCCTGGGTTATAAGATCAGCATAGCTGAGATTGCCCCAGGCATTTCTCCTGGATGAATTTTTCTTAACGGGAAGAAGACCAGCCCCCTGTCCAAGTCCACTCTGCTGCGGTGGTGTACCACTTTCCGTACCATCCTTGCCAATTCCAACGCCATTACCACCACCACCATCACCACTACCACCATTCCCATCAACATAGCCATCAGGTCTTGGCAATGGCCACGTATTGGAGCGTGCACGTGTCTGGGGTTCAAATCCACTTTCAAGATCGAATGACAATCCCTGGGGTGTGTGGGGACCATCAGGTGGTGAATGCGAAGGAGGTGGTTGAATGGTTGTCGGGACCATTACTGGTCCCGTCACCGAGTCCATCATACTATCCTCCGTAAAATCCACTTTGACTGATTTTCCTTGGCCACTCTCTTCCCTGGACACCCTGGCCACCAGCTTTTCTCCAGCACGCCAACAATGTCTCCCTCTGCGCTCAACACTTGATCAACTTGGAAAAAAAAAATTGTGAAACTGAAGTCGCCTCAATCCTGATAGATCCAACTGGTATTGAATGCCCAGTAGTAGGTTGAAATTGCGCGGGACTTCACAAGAGCAAAGTATTGGAAGTGGGGATTTCGCTGGTGCGGGGTAATAGAGGGGGCAAAGCACGTGGTCCAACGATGTTTACGGAGCGACAGGTCACGTGGTCATGTTTTGAATGGGTTTGTGATTTCTCTAGGTCTTCTCTATTTGTATCCTCGAGAAGTGGAAATGAAAAACAATCTGGAGCTCTTGCGGATTGTTTACTTCCTCGTCGACGAGGGATTGTGATTTTTTACCGAGGATATTTGCATCGAGACAGTCTCGTTCAGTCTGATGTTCTGATGCTCCTGGGGATAACGTTGATGCGATGAGAAAGAATGTTGATGTCAGGATCCGTGATAATACTCTCCACCTATGGTGTAACGCTTCGATTTTTCCCAAAGAATTTCAAGGCCGTTGACGCCTCAACAGTCGCGTTATAACTCTCCCGGACTTCTATGCCTTTTGCCACCACCACAACAGACCGCGGAATTTCGACGTTGTATACTCCAACGTGGACCGCCTCTCGCACGAACGTACGATTACACACACTCTTGGCCTTTTTTTTTTTATTCTCTTTACATCTCTCTTTATTTTTTGAACGTTCCCACTTCTCGCGATACCACTTGGATGGCCCTCGGATCTCCTAGATCAGCTCACCCAAAAACTCGATGTACAATTTTTTCACGTATCGTATAATTGTGAAACGGAAATATCCCAGCGATATATTTTTTATCACTCCCTTTTTTTCTCTTGTCTCGACTTACAAAATATGCACTACGGAGAGAGGGGTGGGGTGAGCACTTGTGATAGTTGTTTTCGTTATTCTCTTTTTATTTCTCAATGACAACCGAGAAGTCGAAACGGGCTGCGCAGATAGCCGTTGCAATAAAACATTCGATAAAAATGTGAGTGAAGAAGAATTAACTCGGCAACAGTTTTTGTAACATCAGTCTCTTCCGACATGAATTGTTAATGATTAAGTTGTCTATACACGTCAAGGATAAACCGTATTGAAATTAAAATTAACCACGAGGTCGTATTGCGCGTTTCGTATGTAAACTATAATAAACGAGAAAAAAAAAAGCGGAGATACGGAGAGTTTTTTTTTTTTAAATTAGTCAAGTTGCCGGCGAGGCAGCGCGGCGCGTACTGCCGTACCGTAGACGATAACTGGTTTTCTCGTTGTGAAATACGTTTACGGAAATAACCGATGCTACCCGAACATCTACAGCTCTCTCACTACGCAAAATGAATTCGTGGCGCCTAGCCTCACTGCCCTCTCCTCCCCCTCGCCCTCTCCTCTCCCGCCAACCCCCTCTTTTATCTCTCTTTTACTCTTTTCCCTCTTCTTCACAGTTTTTTTTTCTCTCTTTTTTACTCTCCCGCTACCGCTCTTTGAGACACATCCCTTGTCTCTTTGGTCACCAGCTACTTCAAGCTCTTCACTCCCTCGCTAATTCTCAACTCCTCTCCTTCACCTTCGATGTATCAAGACCATCAAGACTCTGATTGTCATGTACCACGTGGCCACATAAAAAGGTCTAACACAAATACTTACTATTAAATAAAAAAAAACTTGGTTTAAAAAAAATTGTCATGAGCTGTCATTGTCATCATTTTTAAAATTCATACTTCATTATTCGTTGGATGGTGGATTTTTTTTTTTGGCTGCGGATGGTTCATTCCTGAGGTCCACGGCATTGATGTGCTCATGATTTGTGTGGGACTTACTTATGTAGGGATCTATGGAGGGCTTCCGGTTAGGATGAATACATTTTGAGAAATTAATTCAGTGGGGAGAAGAGTGGAATTGAGAAGATGGAGCTGGAGGAGCTAATTAGGTGTGTCCCAATGCTTTTGATGTTCTTAATAAAATAATTCAATAGAAATTGTTCAATACTGTTTATCTTCTGAAATTCTATCCTATATTTGTACTTTGGGACCGTAGCTTCTGTCTTGCTTCTGTATTGATAAATTTGTGCACAAATTATTTACAGATACTAGGTGTATCCTTGCATGACAGCTCTATAAATCATTTTCACAAGATAATTTGTTCACCTAGAATCCATGGAGTTATGAATGGTTCGTATCGACGTTGATTTCCATTAGTGAATCAGTTTATCAGCTCTTCTGGTTTAAAATAAAAGTTTAATGATTGTACAAGATGATAAAATGATAAGATTCGACGAGAACTCCGTGGATTAGCCGTATGTAAGAGTTTATTGTGTGAAAGACACCGCACGGTGGCAATTAAATCGATGTAATAGGTCGACTAGGGCCTTTTTCAACAAAGATTGAAGAGGGGACAAGAGATATTGAATTGCTGGGAATGGCCTTCTCTCCATTAAAGAATTCTCCTCTTTGGAGAATCAGAGAGACCGGGGAGAGTGCGGAACTACCAGTTTCTTGGAGAAAAAAAAAACACCCGGATAGTTCAACTCGTAATGATCATTACGTCGACGATGGACGATAGACGACCTTGCGAGTTGTACATCCTGGGAGATATAAAAAATTACATTAACAGACAAGGTTCAAGTTATTAATAACATTTAATGATTCAAATCCGCTAATACATCCTCCATGCAATTTTTTTTTTTCGCTAATTCCAATGATTAATGCGTGATTTGAACTTATTCGTTGTCATGAGAATACAAATGTAATATTTATGTCGAAGATTACAATACGAATTTCAATAATTTATGGAAAATCCTGGCAATGATAAGCTCATTTATCAATTTTTTTAATCAATTATTCATGTTGTTTGCCACTTTATGGAATCGTGTCGACACCATCTATGACTCTACTAGGAGAATTTTACAAAAATTTCAATAATACCATTACATAATACTCTATTTACGTTTTTTTTAGCTCTTTCGCGCAATATCATCCATTCTTTCATAATTATCGATGGACTTGAATGATGGACACGAGTTTCATGACACATGATGGCATGACAAAGTGGGATATATCCAATTTATCCTTGGAAATGATTTTATTTGATTGATTCATTGATTAGCCGTTCGATATTGAAAATATCGTGTATGTCGGATACCTCGGGATCTTTCGTGGTATTGGATTCCAAGGATTCTTTTGATATTAAAAATTGGTTAAGTGTTTCAGATGGCAGCAGTGACTGAAGTGACTCTCTCCGGGGCTGAGGAAATCGTAACAAAGATGGCTGCTTCCAACTCAAATATATCAAGTGAATTTGGAGAGAAAAAGGAAGATGAGTTTAACGAATTTTACACTGAAGTGAGTGAACACATTCTACTATCTAATAACTACCTAAATATCTGGACAATTATTCCCTGGCAATACCATTTAATTTCACCACATAACACTTGAAAGAGAGTTCGAAAAATGTCACTTGTGTTTTTTCTCATTGTTTATATTGATGAATTATAATTGATGTGTGGAATCATCATTAATTGCATGGAGTGGAATTTTTTTAATGACACGATGTCCTGTCGCTGGATAATTGTGCAGAATGTACATACAGGGTTAACCTATGAGCAGCGGTTGTTGGCGAGAGGAATAATCGACATGTGAATCTTATTCTCAGGTCAAAGAAATTGAGAAACGCGATGCTATCCTCACGCCAAAGCAGCAAATTGATAGATTACTACGTCCTGGCTCGTCATACTTCAACTTGAATCCATTCGAGGTACTTCACATCGATCCTACCACAACGATAGATGAAGTTAAGAAGAAATATCGTCGAGTAAGTTTTTCTTAACCATATCATGTAATTATCGAGTAATTGAACCCACTGTCTTATTTTAAAAATAACACCGGGTTTGAATCGCGTATTTTTACAGATGTCAATTTTGGTGCATCCAGATAAAAATCAAGATGATGCAGAAAGAGCTCAACAGGCTTTTGAAAGTAAGACATCATTGCAAAATTCTCGTGATCTCTCCATCAGGTATGTGTTAAGATTCATTGTGATTTTTTTTATTTATTTCAGTTGTTAATAAGGCGTGGAAAACCCTAGAGAATGAAGAGTCACGGGCGAAGTGTATGGATGTTATTGAAGAGGCAAAAGCCCGTACGGATCATATGGTAAGAATTTATCAGTAAAAACGAGTGGTGACTTGAGATTTCAATTCAATTTTATACAAAATGTTATAATTAAATTGGTAAATGGAAATACAGATAGCTGAAAAGAAGAAAAAATTGAAAAAGGAAGGAAAAGAGGGTGGAACTGTTCCGGTGCTTGAGGAAGAGAGTGAGGAAGGTTACAGTCATGCTGTGTGGGTGATGACGATGAAATTATTCGCAGATATGGAACGCAGAAGGTAGAACACCGCTCTTCATCTAATTATTCCATGGAAACCGCTAAAATTTAAATTATTGTTAAGGCAATGACAAAATTAATTTACAGACGAGAATTAGCAATGAGAGATGCCGAACAACGGAAACGAAAACGCGAAGAAGAACTCAGTGCTGAGGCGCAAGCGGCTATGGAGAAAGAGTGGCAGAAGAATTTTGAGGAATCTCGGCAATCCAGGGTGGACAGTTGGAAAGCATTTCAGTCTGGATCGGGTGCAGCCAAACAGAAGAAAACAAAAAAATTGAAGGCCTTCAGGCCGCCGAAAACGAAAGCCGAGTCACGATAATGTATCATGAGTAATTGTAACTCTTTGGTTGTGGCCAAAAACAATTTCTTCTCCACATGAAAATTGAAAAGTGTTGTCAGAACATTTTCTCATAATATTTTCGATGTACAGGTAATTGCGATTGAGACTATTACTTCGGAAATTTATCAATCAAAATGAAAAATAAGTGCATATATGCTCAAAATATCATTCGCCACAATCTCAACGAAGTAGTTTTCAATGCTCGAAAAGAGACATAACAAGGTATGAGATCGTGATTTTCATAATTCAATTATCAAAACTTGTGAATGATGCGTCAAAAAAAATAAGTCAAATGTGAAGAGAGCGTAGATTTCTGTATCGTATGAATGAATATTAAATACTGTATGTTTACTTAGTATTGAGATGGAACCATTCAAATACTTTCTCACAAGTCCGAGTAAATGCCTTGGAGTCTGTTTACCATTTAAGAATGAATTTGCTTTCTTTCTCTCTGTGATTTTGTTAACGAATGCATCGTTCAAGATCGAGTAAGCACTGTCCCATTGTCTAATCACCAGCGATTTATAATACGAGGTAAAAATATTTTTCTAAAAACAATGACGATTCATGATTTTCGGTGCGTAATACGGGTACGCCATTACTGATGATCAAAATTGAGGGAAAATTTATGACGATGCGGTTTCACGATGGCAAAGGATCAAATGATGTTTATATTTAAGTTTCTGGGTGGATTTTCTTTCGAATGATATTTCGATATAGAACAAAACCAGTGGATGTAACGCTCGAAAGATAATTGAACCGGGCCTTGAAAATCAGTCAGAGTCTTAGAATAATAAGTCTAATATTTTTACAGTACGGCGTGCGTAAAACTTACACATACCGCACTATAAAATTATTTACGTAACTTATTGTAAAATACGTTTTTGGCTCGAGCCGAAAAGCTCATACTCATCAAGAACGTAAGAATTAATTTGTGTAAAATACTATTTTCAATGCAGTCGATTTCAAATAATTATTGTTTTTTAAATTTCTGTCGAATTGAAAAATAAAAAACAGTTAATTAAAAGATAATATTCGTTGTCGTTACTTTATTTCCCCATAATTTACAGCATTTTAGCGAGGAAAGTGGAAATTCTATTTATCCAATTTCAATAGAAATCTGATAAAATTTCTCGGAGAAAGCGTTGCGTTTTTGCATTAACTTTTTTTCCCCACATGTTGCATTTCAAATTTCTCTCCGAACATTAAAAAATAAGCAGACAAGCCTTCACTGAAAAATACAACGAATTTCTTTAGGTAAGAAAGAAGTTTGTGAAAGAATTTTCATATCTGCTCGAAATCTCCACCAATCACATGACAACCATTTCAAGACACCATTGGTCCCCAGCTGATCACGTGCCCTTCGATGGACCAAGAAAGCACATGCGCGTAACGACCCAAAAGTCAGGTGTGTAGAGTGTCGTACCAACGCAACAGGTAGCATTTTATTCCGTTACAAGAATTTTCTTCGTTTTATTAAGTAAACTGTGGACAAACAAGTTTAGTTGAGTTCATTGGCATTAAAATAATCTCTAAACTCCCCCCAGAAATATTCAGCACCCCAGCATGAATAATTTGAAAAATCAATGTACCTCCAGTTGAATAAAAATACGTGTTGAATAATCGTGATGTCGTTAGGAAGTGCATTTTCTTCGGGGCATAAGGTTGTGCCCTGTTGTCTTGAGTCTTTCAGTCCAGGAGTTGCCCTCGACAGTGAGGGATGCCGGGAACCGGCCTAAACCTGTCCCCAATCCTCCATCGAAAAATTCACCCGTGCATTCCTACCTGAAGTCTTACTCAGCATATTCATTTATCGCGTAAATAAATCCATCAATTACTTCAGTATGAAAATAACATAGTACCAACAATGAAATTTTTTCATTTGCCCAGCGTGAATGTGTAACCTTGACAGTCAGGTAATTACCCGGAAAATCACCGAAAGTGCCTCAAAGTACTCCGCCCATCTTCAATTAATTCCTCCAAAATGCGGGCAACTGCATTTTTTATAAATAAACAAGTGAATTTATCACTTCTTGATCGTTTCGAGTCGTTGGATCAATGATAATAAAAGTGAATTCCGGGGAATATGGAGAGAATACGTGGGAAACGACGAACGGACGATAAACACAGGTAAATTATCCATGAAAAATTCACTCGCGAAGGAAAACGAGAAAAGTCAGATGACCTTTCAGTTTCCATCAAGTTAAATTAACTGAATACTCTGAGAAATCTGTCTCAAAAAATCTGTTGCCCTTATAATCCATGGTTCTTCGCAATTTATTTTTTTTCAACGTTTAAATTCCCATTCAACTAAAAACACATAACAACCTACCGCAATTGCTTACAACAAAGTTCAATACCGGATTTCTCGACACCGAAGCAACGGTATTTCTGGTAAATCACCGATCTCCAGCGTGCTGGGAAATTTGATTAGCCTCTGAAAGATGTGGAAAATATTGAAAAGCTGAGAAAAATGGAAGAAAGTGGACAAATAGGTGATAATTTGACATGACAGAGCTGTTAAGTCTCTTTTCAACTGATTGCCAAGACCCCCAGCAGACTCCAGAAATCACCGATTCATCGTGGACACCCTGTATATGTAAAAGCATTGACCAGCCTGGAGACCTACCCGCTGGTATATACATAAATATGTGACTGTGTATGTACAGTTTAAGAGAAGGGGAAGGGTTAAGAGTCCAGTCTCGAGCAAGACAAACCAATGTCGCGTATCCTTATGCGAAGAGTGTATCCGCCACTAAACACGTACTGTCTTCAGTTTATGGTCATGCCCTGTTCTCCAATGACGTCACAAAATATAGAAGACCGATGAATTGTTCACTCCCTCGTAAACCAGAATTAATCCATCACATGTATTTCCAAAAAATAATTTAATTTGGAAAGGAGATACTATTTTCCACCCAGAGGCAACGATTCAGTGAAAAACAAGACCACACGTTTAAAAAATACTGGGTAAATTCGAGTAAGTACTCACTGTTTGTTGAAAGTGCTAGTGATGCTGGAGTCAACGGGGAAAAGAAGGAAGGAGAGAAATCGTGAAAGAGCAGACAGAAGAAGGGTTTTTTTTTCCTCAGCATCCAAACAAAAAGCATGACAGGAGAGAAAGAGAGAGGGAGGACGTTGCAATAAGAGGAGGTTTTGTATGGAGAGTAGAGGGAGTTGGTAAGAGAAAAGAAAGAAACGTGTATAGAGGGGAAAGGCACCTCGACGACGCCAGCGGATAACCAGCGGGGTTTACCCGTGTGCCTGAGATCGGCGTCGGCGGTTGGATTTTCAGGCAGTACCTATTTGGCATTGGCGATATACCTACGCTAGATACCTCCTTTTTTTTTTTACCTTCTCGTTTCATAATTTATGTACTACGGAATCGGCTGTTCGATCTTTAAAGAATCATGTCGCCCCCGTCTTTCGTTGGAACTGGGACCTCCAGTCACTGAAATGAGAGGCATTTCAGTTTCCAGGACTCGGTATCCAACACCGGTATTGACTTTGTTTTACATTTTACTCATCCGGGTAATTTCGGAATGTCTGAATGCGGTTACTGTTTAACGAATGATTTGGAGAATAATTGTAAATCGCCAAGTTATTGGATCATTTATTTTCCGGTGCCAGACTGAATTCCGAGAGGATGAGTAGTTCGAGTTGGTTGGGTTGTGGTTTAATTTTTTTGTGATGATTACGCTTCTTACGATAAAAGTGTGTCGGTTTATGTTCGCGGTATAGTGAGTTAAAGCGATGACGATTTTATGTTTTAATTTTGCAATATTTTTTATTTGGTTTCTTGAGATTGGTTTGATGTATCGGTAATTCAGGAGATATCGGTTGATTTCTGTGAAGTGGAGAGGTTCTACTGATGATTTGTGTTGCAGTAGTTTTGATGGAGATGGAAATAAGAGAGTTGAAAGTGGCTCAGTCATTGCGTTACCATTGGATGATGTCAGGAAAAATTCACCGATTAATATATTAAAGAGAAGCATACGCCGTGCTTGGACGATCAATGGTGAGCACTCATTATTCAATGGGGAATTAATTTAATTAACTCATGATATTGTTTCAGGACCACCCTGTCGATGGACTATTTCCAGAAAGTCTCCAGCTTTCAGAATATACCGGAGTTTTCCATTGAGCAGAAATAATCGCACGAGTGGGAACAGTAAAACAGAAAACGCCGAGTCCTTGAAGAATGAAATTGAGCGTAAAGTGTTTTCCCTTAAAACAGATTCATTAAACTTGCGAAATAAATCGAATGATGCAAACGAACACGATAATCCTCAAGCTCATGGGGCTTTAACGAAACCGACAGCGAAGCATTTTCAGAAATGCGTTTCTGAATCTAAATCTTCACCGAAATATGGCGAGAGAAAATCGAATATACCGATTTATAGAAGAAATTCAAGGGAGTTTGAGGATATTGGTGGTTCAAGGGAATCACCAAGACGTTCACTCATTCCTCAGAGATATCGAGGGAGCACTGACGATCTGAGGAGATATAGAGAGGAAGGGAATGTCCCCAGTCTCATTCCCAAACTCTCACAGAAATCAAAGGACGAGAAGATCTTCAAGAGGGAAAAATTTGAGGCGAAATCCAGTTCGAATATTAAGAGGGATATTAAAGAGAAGGAGGAATCTCGTTTGAAATATTCTCCTACCAATTTCCGTAGGATTCCCAGGAGCGAAGAGAATTTATTTCTGTTCAAAACACAAGCAGAAACTAAGATTGAACATCCGGAGAATCACAAAGAAGAAGGTTTAGAGGAAATAAATTCTCAAAACGATCTCGTACTAGAGACAACGGTTGAGAAAACAAGTTTCGAATCTTTAGCTATGGCAAATGAGAAGATGATAATAGATGAGTGCCATGGTATTAAGAGTCCTGCAAATGACGAAAAAAATGTCTGCGGTGATTCTTCGGAGGATAGAGACTCCGGAGACGGTGAAAAATCTGTTGATGTGATGGATACGTCCAATACTTCCACTGCTAGTGATATCGAAACTCCAGAAATCAATTTAGAGGACATAAAAAATCTGCCTGATCCTCATCAGAGTAAAAAAAGTGAAGAAATTCAAGTGGTGAGTTGTTGAGAGCAGATTAAATTTTTTTCTCCCGTTTATTTGATTGTAACGTATGAATAACTCAATTTTAACTCCAAGATCCGCAGAAAGTATTCGAAGGAAGAGCTCTCCAACACTGACGACACAGATGATGCGCCAAATCGTCGCTCATCGAGCGTAAGCATTGCAAAATCTCTCGCTAAGAATGACGGAGAATAAAATAGAGCAACCTTGTAATTTTTATTTAAATTATAGCATCTGTCACCGGAAGCCAGCCCCCTCAGTACTCGTTCATCCAGGTACAGTCCACGTGAAAGCGAGAGTGAACCAACGCCTGCATTACCGCGAAAAACTCAGAGTGGTGAGTCATCTATATCATCGCAGAGAATACGAGACGCTATTACGAGAACAAGAAGAGAGTCTAATAGTAGTACGCGGTATGAGAGCAGTGGTAGTGAGAGTTTAAGGTGAGGAATAAATTTTAATAAATTTCATACAGAATAGAACAATTTTCATTATATCAGTCGTCAAAGATGGGTTGATATGAATTATCTTCTGGATAAACTGATTATCACTTTAACTCGATAAGTAACGGATTTCATATGATTGAATGTGAATTGAATGTGCATTATTGTGCAATAACTCAATTTCAGATTGAGTGAATCCGGATTACACGGTTACGTGAATATCGCTCACAAGGTCAGATTATTCGGCAGCAGTCACTGTTGTCCAGGTGTATCAATTGACGAGCCAATTCAAAGAGACAGTGCAACAAGTGCGGGGGAAGACGAGCCTCAAGACGACTGCCTCTCCCGTGATCCTGCCAGACTGACTGGCGCATCCACCCAGGGTAGAACAATACTCCGTAGACGCCGACAATTCGATGCTCAAGGTAAAAAAAATATTGCCTCCCAGTATCAGTGGAGCTCTTGCATGTTAGAAATTGATTATCGAAGCCCAACGTTGAATTTTCTTGGCCTCAAGCTCACACCAATCAGTCTTCACAACTCCCTGTATCGATGAGCATTTTAAACGTTTTGTAAATATTTTATAAAGTTATGAATAATTGTGGTAATTAATCAAGACTAAATAATGGATACTCTTCGCGCATTTCAACTTCTCCTCACTGTCATGGTGTCTACCTATTTTTTACTATTCTACATCGGTGCATTTGTCGTATTTTATTTCTGGTTAACGGACAATTACAACTCTTAACGCGAAAATTAATTGATTGAGGGAAAAAATGAGTGAAAATTCACGGCAAAAATAGAAATTCCCACTCCCCTGCAACGAGTGCAACACAAAGGTGTATAAACTTCTCAGGTGAGGCAGACCCAAGCGAAGAAGTATATAGGTATATAACAATGCAACGTCCACTGTTTCATTCTACAATCCGCCCATCTGTAAATACATACACTGGGTGGCGCGAAAAAATTACTCAGAAATAATTCGTCGATTAATTTTCTCACTAAAAAGTCACTCAAATGATTTTCAACGATCGAATCGTCTAAATCCATTCAATTTCTCTCATCCATCATAGAAAAACGAACACCCAAAAACGTAATCTGAAAATATTACATGGAGGCATGAAGCCATTAATAACGAAATTAATGATGACGCTAATGAAGACATTAATCCCTTGATTATAAAGTGAATTGTGAATGTGATGGAATGTTGTGAATATAAAAATTGTTGAAATGATTTTCAACGATCGCATTTAATCCGTATAATTTCGCGTTGAAAAACGAACAGGTAAAAACGTAATTCGGAATGGATTAGATGGATGGATTGATGAGGGCATTAGTTCTGACGTTAATGAAGACATTAATCCTTTAATTATGAGGTAAATACCGAGTGTGACGGGATCTTGGGAATAATAATAATGAGAAAAGGGTTATCGTAATGGTTTAAACGGGAAATGAGTTTCAAATTTAAAAAGATCACCCTATATAAATGTTTTGTCCGACTGAATCGAGGCACCGGGCAAGACGATGGGTAAGCGAGCAGCCGGTTGGTTCCGGCCGCGCACACACCTACCTAACAACACCAGTGAATACTTCAACATTTTTTTTTCTTCCAATATACACTTTACAAGACGCAAGTGAGTTAAGCACATCCAGACAGTTCGGCGTGTCGCTTGCTTTTTTTTTCTCTTTCTCCAAAAACGAGGCCGAATAATTAAGAGATATCATTAGTGTGGCTTTATACGGACCGCAAAATTTCATGAAATACAGTCATTACTCACATATTTACCGAGAATAATTGCAATAGGCTCCCGTAGACGAGGGAGATCACACGCTAGAACATGCTGCAGTGAGGATTTCTCGAGTCTCCAGGCAGGACGTCAATGCAGTCCCACTCAGGGACACATCCAGACTCATGAACCAAATCCTCTGACACCGGATTATCGACGTTTGGTGTTCATAAGTTCGGACTCGTCATCGGGAAGGGAAGAGGATGACGCGGACAGCAGTTGCTCAGGGTCTTCTTACTTGAATGGTTTGCCAAGGGGTCATGCACAAGGACTTGAGGATTGCGATTGGGATTACTTTGAGAGTGGTACTTTACCGATTCCAACGGGTTTGAGTGATGGTATTAATCTTGATGGAATTGCTAACATCAGTGGAAGCACCAGGGGAATCATTAGAGACTGGAGTTGCTGTCCTGGGAGAGGAGCTGCTGCTTGTTCGGTGAGTTTATATTTTCTCGGAGTTATTTCCAGTATTTATGGTAATTTAAAACTGTGAAATACTTTTGAACAGGCTTGTGGAGGCTCTACCAGTGCAAACGTTTTACCTGTCCCAGTACCCATCCCCGTACCCGTCCCCTATCCAGTGCCCATTCCAGCTGCCCTCTGGAACGGTGATTTTGCAGCAGCTGCTTCATCAATGATCACCGGAAGTGGAACACCGGAGGGCACTTTGCGCCTTCGCGGTGACCCCACAGCCCCATGGTTTTCCTGGCATCCAAGATTTAATCATCCTCTTGATGGAACTGTTCAGAGAGGCTCGAGAATTCCCAGCGGGGGTTTTGACCCCTCCATCTTCACCTTCAGGCCTGATGGCTTGTCACTAGGACAATTTGAAAACATTAAAGTCCAGGGGAGCTTGACAGAAGCTACAGCCTCCAAGGAACCAAAACCCGAGGAGAAATTCAAGCCAGATGAAGAGGAAAAGGCTCCAGAGGTCCAGAGTCCTCTCAATAATCAGAGTAATGTCGATTTATTCCAGCCAGAAGCCCCTTCGAAAAATGTACCCGAGAAAGAACAAGAATCTCATGTTGAGGAAAATGCAGAGCCGGATAAGGAAACCAGAAGAAATTATTGTTCTTCGCAGGACGATGCGGGGAGTTCCTCAGGGAGATCCTCGGCGGACAGCAGTGATCTCGATGAATCAGCCTCTCATCATTTCTCTCGTGTATTCGTAGTGAATAACGATTCGTTGACAAGCGACAATGACATGGAGGAGATTGACGATAACGATGAATCGGAAAATCAAGATGGAGAAGCTGGAATTACACTGAAGCGAGTGATTGCATTGTCGGATGAAGAGCAGTCACTGGTGCTCCGTAGGATAAGTCTCTTCGATAAAGATTTGAATTTTGAGAAGACTTCAGGAGATTCAGATACTTCAGGTGAATGGATGGCGTCCAGAGATGCGGATCGGGACAATCAAAACGAATCTAAAAATGATGGCTCGAGTGAAATATATCTTGCGGATTCAATCGATTATTCCGATAACAATCACGTACAGTTGAGATCGATCAGAAATATAAACTCAGAGTTTCTCGATTCTCCTGTCTATCCTCTGAACAATAATCCGAGATATCCAAGTGATAATTCGAGTTTAATTAAACCAGAAGACCTACCGGAAGAGAAATCCTGGGATTCTACAGTCATGCCAGACTCTCTAGAGATCACAAACACCAGTTTAATTCATTCGCATGGCAGCCTTGTTACAGCCAGCACAATTCCGATAACTCGCGATAATGTATCGCCTACCATCTGTGAATCCCAAAAGCTAGAAATTTTTCAAAATGAAAAAAGTAAATTAAATTCCAACACAGCCACAACTAAAACGAACGAACCGAGTGAATTCACTGACGAGTTACATGACCACCAAGTTATGAGTCGTGTTAAACCACCAGAACGTTTCGTGAAGAGACTGTTAAACAAAGGTGTGTTGACGTCAAAAAATGGTAGTGCCAAAACCCCTGATGAGATTGCCCACAGGTCGTCGACAATTTCACAAACAAGTAATCGAGTGTGCGATGACGACGAGTGTGCGTCAGGTGATCATGCGGATATTAAAATACCGGAGAGCTATTCCGCAGAGAAACTTAACGCGAGTGACGAGTTGGAGGTAATTGACATGAATGTATGGAGTTTAAATGATGAGTTGAGAGATATGGAATTAAATTTGTCGTGCGGTGAATCAAAAATGCGTCAGTGTAATGTTGAGGTGAGAGGCGAGAAAACCGATGGTGTACAGGTGGGAGATAGCGAGGACGTTGATTGTGAATGTAGTGGTAATAATAGTGGGGAAAGAGCTGTGGGTAAGTCACGGTATCGTTCAGTCGAGCGACGCCCGCCCACTTGTAAAGAGAATGGAGAATTTTCACCTACATCATTTACATCTTGTGTACAATCACCCTCTGTTAAGAATAATTTCGTTGCTTGCAATAAGTACAAGAGTCTCGTTATGATAACGCAGGGTAGTTATCAGCCAGTTAGTGTTATAACGAGTGATACAACAACACTTTTGGAGCCAGATGATACGCAAACGCCACAGGGATTGGCCGGTTACTACCATCTGGCGTTGGAGGCTGTCACTGAGCCAAGGAATGGCCAAGGACCTCGACGCCCCTTAATGGTTAAACGACTGAGCTCTAGTAATCAGGAGCTGGAAATTGACAGTGGATTGAGTGTTGGTAGTGCAAGTGAGAGCGACGATGTGCAATCCATTAAGAAACCATTGAGTTTTAGTGGTAAAAGTTGTAATGATGATAAAGAGAAAACGGTAAATGTCGATGGTAAGGAGATTGATAATTCCAGTGGTGTTGTTATTCTTGAGGAGGGACTTGCTGATGATGACTCGTGGGTTGAGGAAGTGTCACACGATGAGGATGAACAGAGTGCTGCTGCCACTGAGGAAAGCTCCGAGGATGAGTGCAATAATATGGGTGACAGGGAGGAGGAACTCCGGGGATATCATCGACAGGCCATTGACTTCACACTTCACACGATTGTTGAGGAATCGTGCGAGGAGAGTGAAGCTGAACCCAGCTTGAGTTCAAATTTGCGTAAACGACAGAGACCACCTTCAACATCGGAATTGGAGAAGTATTTTTTCTTTGGACTTGGTGGTGACATCAATTCCGGGAATAGCAATTCAGGATCAAGAGAAGTGGATAGTCTATCGGAGACGTCGTCAATTTATTCGGAAGGTCTTGAGTCACTCGGGCAGGATGATGTTAAAGAGAAGGGTGATTTTTCTAATTCATCAAGACTGGAGAAATATTTTCTCTCGGAGTTTCTTGAATTTGATCAGGATAGAAGGGATTCCGATGGGTCAGTGGGGAGTGATTCGGAGGGTCGACCGAGTCCTGAGGCGCAGAGGAGAAAACGATTGGTAAGAGCAAGGGGCACTGGAAGATCCCACAGTTCATCGCTGGATAATCTATTGGCTCTAGCTCAGAGCTCCCAGAACTTGACATCCCAGAATTCACTTCAAGATTTGAGTATGAATCAGGATTGCCAGGAGACGCAGTCAGAGGGATCATCGACCGAGACTGATGGAGTCGAGGATGGCCAGACAGCGGTCTTTGGAACAGATGGCCAATTCGACACTGTGAAACGAAAGAAGAAGAAGCCGAGGACTCTGGGAACCCAAAGTCCACGAGTCACTGAGGACAGGAGTAATAAAAGTCCTGAGCCACGTGACTCGTCATTCGGTAAATCTTGCGAAACCATCACTAACGATATGGAGCAGATGATAAATTCGGATGATGAGAGATCGAAGACTCCTCAGCCGGAGCTCAACAGTTTTCCATGCTCATCCACCTCCACATCGCCATCGTCCTCGAGTCCAGACAGTGAGTCGAATTTTGGAGATAGTCGAGGCAAGCAGCAGTCAAGAGACTCTGGATTTGTTGGTAGCTGTGATGACCTGTTGCAGCATCGAAAATCCCCGACAGATCCCAAGCTCGATGGATCCAAGGATCACGCCACTAGCCAAACGAAAAAACACTCAGAAACAAAATCCGGTCTGTCTCAAGCACAAAATGGCTTACCACCTACCGCCAATCCATCATTATCACGAAAGGACAGCTTCAACAACTGGTCAAGTGACGAGGAGACAAATCTAATGATGTCAAAAATGCGACAATTCTTCAAGACAATGGTAGCCAATTCAAACGGTCAGTCAACTCTGACAACTCCAGCGACCAACTCAAGTGGTCCATCACCTGTACCAAGTCCCAGATTATCAGGCTTCACAACAACAAAGTCTCGAATGTGTCCTCAGAATCGAACCAAGCCCCCACAACTCGTCTACTTCGAGAATGAATTAACGAGACTCATGAAAACAGTTCCCGGAATCAGAGATGAACAAGTAAGAGAAATAGTCGAGTACCTGAGCTCCGAGGACACTTGGTCGGACTCTTACGACAGCTCCGACTACACGAGTTCGGATTTAGAAGGTGCTGGTGGTCGAAGGTCAGCCCTCCAGGAGCAGATATCCCAGAGTTGCCAGCAGATTATTTCAAAATTCGACATGAACTCGGACGTTCCTGAGAAAGAAAAGGAAATCTCTGAGAATCCTGTGAAGCCCCAGTCATCAGTGGGTCGAGACACTGCCTTCGTCTACCAGAAGCTCGTCCAAAGTTTTACAAAGATGACAGGTGAAGGTGTGTCTTCGGATGCATCTTCAACTCCTCACAGTAGTCCACCCCTGATTGCCAAGGTGATGCATCATATTGGCTCGAGACTTGTTGCCCTGATGCATGAGGTTTCCGAGGGTACATCGACAGTCCAACACCACACAAATTGGCGAAGATATTCACAACATCATAGAACTCCCTCTTCAGCGTCAACCACTGAGGATGACGAATCGACGTCTGACTCAACAGCCCCGAGTCACTTTCAACTGCCAAGATCAAAGTCCCACGATCCTCTGCTGCTGATAAACGGGCATCCGGCAGCGACTACCGGGCAAGAGGGCGAGGAGAGAGAGGCGAGTGATTATGAGAGATTCTCATGGCGCGGTAGTTTTGAATCGGCATTAATGGCCGCTGATTCAAGAACAAAATTAAGCCTGCTGGCTTGTTCAGGTGATGTGAATGCCAGTGCAAGTGCAAGTGCATTGGCAATGGCTGCCAAGAGAAGGAGTGCAGGTGATTTGCTGTTCAATCCAAAAAGCTTCTCCAGGGAACAACTGGACAGAGTTCGCAGTTGTGGATCGATTGGAGGAGGTAATGGTATTGGTGTGAGTGTTGGATCAATCGAGGAGAAAATTTGGAGTAATAGGAGGAGATCGTCGGTGCCTGATGCCAATACGAGGGGTGAGTCTGGGGCGTCTGCCGGTGATGATGATACTGAGGACGAGTTGGAGTACACTGGTGATCCAAGGGCTACTACGCTACCTAGGGGAATGCAGGTGACCACCAGTGGAAATGCTGCCACTAATTCATTGCCAAGGTTGCCAGCCTCCACTGCAGCTGGAGGCAATAATATTATGACTAATACATCGATGCACAAGGCACAGAGTATGTACCACTTTTTGCCACAACATACTAATGTCAAGTCGGCGAGGTATCGACCCCCTGGGTTTGCGCGCAATTCATTGAGCAATTCGGCTGCTGGTGGTGGAACCGTTGGACCCAAGCGAGCCTTCAGTGCTCCGGGATTGCAAATACCCGGGACCCAGAACCCTGGCAAAAGAGAGTCTTCTAGATCACGTCGACAACAGGCTATTTCGCTCGCGCCAGGTAAATTATTTCACGAGTTTAATGTTCGAGTTACGGGCATTGATTATTCATCTGATTATTATTCATACGATTTTTATTCATTGTTATTTGTTATTCTTCTGGGAAATCAATGAATCGAGAAAGTCCATAACAATGGCTTGTTGACGATAGAATTAATAACAGGATTTCAACATGTATAAACACAAAAGTGGAAACATGGAAACAATTTTTATTTTATTGAGATTTAATATTTTAAATAATTAAAAAAATTTCCTGAAACAGCGGTTTAGTTAGAAAAAAAATCCAAACAGCGAAAAATTTGAATTCACGATTTTCAACTGGAACATCAAATTCGATTCCCATGAGAAGATCAGATTCGTTAACCCGAATGAAAACAAAAAGAGGAAAGAAATTTTTCTACTTGAAAGGCAATGCTCATCAGAACGGTAGAACGGTAGGTGAGCTCACTGGAGCATATCTATTCCACTGAGTTTCGGAATGCGTGCTGATGCCTTTTTTATGCCAGCGATACCACTTACTATGAAACAAAAATAATAAAACGGTTCTTCGTCAACGGCTGGCATGCGCGTAGAAATTTATCGTGGGGTACCGTTCGATGGATTATTTTTTCGCACATCCTGACAATTGGGAGGAAATGGGATAATTAATAGGGATGTTGCTTTGTGCTGCAGACGATGGAAGTAGTTTGTCTGAAGCGTGTAGCACACCAATAATAGGTGCCAGCCCAAGGTCAGCCTCCAGTCGCACAGTCATGGATATTGATGACACGGAACGTGGAGGTCTACACTCGGCACATAATTTGAATACACGAGCTTCATTATCTAGCCTTGGGGTAACAATTAATATAATAATATTTTTTCGAAAATTGTCATTTACTTTAAAATATTCAATTGACTGTCCACTGATTGATTGATTGATTTTTGGATTTATTTTGGATTTATATCGATTGCATTAATAATTCGAAGTTATAAAAAAATAATTAATAAAAAAATTTTAGGCGAGATCTGACTCGATGGCATCAGTGTACAGCGGCGCGGGGGAGGGCAGATGGTGTGGCTCAGTGGCAGTTCATGGTGAAGTTGAATTTTCCCTTCAATACGACTACAAACAGCTGACGTTTGAGGTTCACGTGAGCCAGTGCAAAGATCTAGCCCCAGTTGACATAAAGAGAAATCGTTCTGATCCTTACGTAAAAGTCTACCTTCTACCCGATAAGTCAAAGGGTGGAAAGCGAAAAACGAAAGTGAAAAAACATACGCTGAATCCGATATTTGATGAGACACTTAAATTCCATATTGGCTTGAATGGATTGGAAACGAGAACCCTCTGGCTAACAGTGTGGCATTCAGACATGTTTGGAAGAAATGATTTTCTTGGAGAAGTTAGAATGCCGCTGGAGAATAAAATATTTGATGATCCGACGCCAAGGTGGTATCCACTCCAGGAGAGAACTGAACCGTTTGATGATCCCGTCGCCTACAAGGGCGAGGTTATTGTTGGCCTCAAATTTGTTCCGCCAGATCCAGCGCAATTGCAGGAGAGAGAGAATATTGCTTGCGATAAAAACATTGTGAAAGGAAAGAAAAATTGGAGCCGAGGTGCACTCCATGTGCTCGTTAAAGAGGCTCGTAATCTTCAGACTCGAGCTAAAAATTCGGGCACTTGTGATCCCTTCTGCAAAAGTTATTTGCTGCCAGACAAAGGCAGATCTGGAAAACAAAAGACAGGGGTTGTTAGGCGATCTGGTGGATCGCCGGTGTGGGGTCATACTTTTGTTTACAAAGATGTTAGTATTCAGGAATTGGCTGAACGTGGACTGGAATTAACTGTTTGGGATCATGATCGTATTGCCAGCAATGAATTTTTGGGAGGTGTGAGATTTAATCTAGGAACTGGTGAGTTTAATGATATATTATATTGACACGTGTACGCGTTGGCTAACGGATACATTTTTTAATTTGCGAAATTATTTGCTTCCGTTACGTTGTTTATGGCTTATCCAAGTATTTTGCAATCCTCATAGGTAAACATTATGGAAAATCAGTGGACTGGATGGATGCGACTGGACGAGAACTCTCACTTTGGCAGAGTATGTTGGAACGTCCGAATTTTTGGGTCGAAGGAGCAGTGACTCTAAGACCCAACTTACACAATCATGGCAAGAGCAATATCTCTTGAATATTTCATTCCTTATTCCCTAGGATGAGTAAAATTGGCCAAAATATTTCACCTATCCGTCCCTATATCCAGGAATGTACTCCAAGCTTGATGAATATCAAATGTGGACGATTCTTCCCTTTGCATGAAATCCTAGTTACGTTTTTTTGTACGATATCGAAGGAAAGGGGAAGGTTTTTCCTTCACGTTATCAATATTACATTTTACATTCCATATTAGCGATAATTGAAATGGTCAATTTGAGGTAATGTGAATACCTCCTAATTTCAATGTATTTGTGTACTTATAAATAGATAATATATTTATACTCAATATGCGTTCCATATAAAAATGATATACATTGAAAACTGTTATTGAATCACAAAGAAACTTCGATTAGATATAAACTTAAAATTCCATAAATTGTGATTGCAATGCATGACTTGTAGTGTGATGTTTTAATTAGAACAATTTGCTCCCTTTGAGAGCCGTTAGGAGTTATTGAAAATGAAAAATTTGTATGTACTTAAGGCAAGACAGGGTTAGTTTGCAAACTACTGCCTATGCATAACTACCAATTCCAGTAATGATAAGAAATTATACATTTATTTGTAAGAAATCGTTGTGCTAAAAATTGGACCAATTATCTCAGGATATTTACATGCAAATTTGATAAATGGACTTTGTACGTATGAGCAATGTATCAATTGTTACCAATCAATTTTTCTCGTGTGAAAAAAATACTTTCTGTATGAAATTTCATCAGGTCAATTAGGCGGAGTAATCATTGGAATGGCCTTGTTGATATCTAATGCATTTACCAGTGTAACTGGAATATGAATAAAACGAACTTTTATACCTACACGTTATTTCCATTCAAGACTCACGTAGAAATAATATTTTGTTGTAATAATATCGTAAAGTATCAGATCAGTCAAACTGTTGGAATTATTAAAGATCGTTGTTCATGATATATCTGTTTCCCTCGGAATTTTTTCCAGAGTAACGGTAACGACATTTTCCAAATGCAGCTGAAAGATTAAGTACATGTTTTAATCTGTCAGATGAACTTTATATAATTCTTACCTTTATGGTCCAACGGACTGCGATTAGCCTTTGGTAATGGGGAGCAGTTCAAATCCACGAGATCATCAAATTCCAAATCACCTGGAGTATTCGTTGTCGTTTGCGTGGAAAATTTAATTGTGCGGAGAAATTTGCCACGAGTTAGAGCATCTCGCTTTTCAATGCTCGTCACTGGTCGAGAATCGAGAAAACGCAGGGAACCAGGTAAAATATGAATTACGTAGAGTCTGTATCGGTTGTAGTCAGCTTCATCGTTGTCCATTGGATCTGTAAGTTGATCTGGGTAACCTGGATTCCCGAGCAAACTCAGGTACATCACGCTGGGACAGCATTCTTTTATTCTGTCTATTGCTAAATCGATGTCATCAATCTGTCATAATTAATTTAAAAAAATTGTCAGCTCCTGGGTAGAACACACGAGTCATGAAAAATTTTACCTTATTATTATTTAGACTTAAAGTATGAAGATTCGGCATATGTGGCAGAGTTTTCAAGTCATGGAGGTCATTGTTGTCCAAAATTAATTCCTGGAGGTGATTGTAATTTATCAATGCGGAGAGTGATGTCAATTCGTTATATGACAAGTCTAAACTCAAACAATCTTCACCGACGACTTTTACCAATCCCCGGGGAATTTTTGAGGCTCTCTGGCCTGTGTACCATGCCTGGAAATTAAAGAAATTGATTATTAATCTCTGAAGATATTTTTTTAATTGGACTCTCCGATTATTTCAATTTTTTTTCACACCTCGAGTGAGGTTAGATTTTTTGATAATGTACCTTCTCAAAAAATCGTGAGACAAATTTTTTATTGCACGCGATTTGTTAATAAAAAATTTTTCCTGATAAATTCGAATGTCACCTTTTTGTTCTCCATCGTTAATCCACTTCTATTGAAGTCTTGTATTCCCATCAGAGCCATTTTAGATCGAGTGAATGTAAACAAGATAATATGCCGATTTATGCAATTGCGACGTCGTTATCCAGCAGTCCATTTTAATTAATGATAACTGGATTTAACTGGATAATACCAATTTAAATTTAAGGATTGGCTCGTTGGTCTAGGGGTATGATTCTCGCTTAGGGTGCGAGAGGTCCCGGGTTCAAATCCCGGACGAGCCCGATTTTTTTTTCCTTCCGTAATTAAATTTAATTTCACTTTATTTTTTGCAGTATCTCTCTCTGGTATAAAAAACGATTAAATAAATAATATACGTGAAAAATAATGTTTAAAAATCGAATCAATAGATATTTTTCAAAAATTTGAATTGCAAATAGGAGCATTGACAGTAGGATTAAAAAATTTTAATCTCAAGGTCATCTTGGGGGTTCAATTCAGAAATTAATCTGATAAAAAAATATGATAAGATTTCCCTCGCCCCTTACAGCAGTAGATGTCGCGACGAGCCCCAAATCCTCAACATATCCAAGGGTAGGAAAATTCCACTCAGTTGGTATCGTTGATCCATAATATTTGGAGAGGGTTGAGGGACCCTCGGTGACGTGCAGGGAGATCGGATGTTAAGAGAGCGCATGAACGGATCCCCGGAGGTAGTCAGCCCGGGGTGCGTCTAGTCGCGGAGTACAAGCGGGGATTATTGTCCTCGGGTTCGCCAGTGAGCAAGACAGTCGATTCAAGTTCACAGTCGGGAAATCACATCACCCCCAGACCAAAAAAAAAGAGTATATTCAAAAAAAAAAGACAACTGAAAAAAAAACACACGTGCTGCACCACCCACACCCCTACATGAAATTCAAATTAAACATGACAATTATCAACACAAAAACGTGCACTTGACAGAGGGACAACTGCCTTTAAAAATTCATCTCGTGAATTTTCAGTTGTTCACTACCGATTCGTTTTATCTTCCTTTGACGTTTGTCAATGATGAAAAATTCGTTCACCACCTGCCTATCCACCATAACGTCCAGTTGAATCTCTTCCCGACAAGATCCTCGCGACTTTATCTCCTGAAATTACTCAAAACTCTCTTCAAAGTCTCTCATCCATCAATAGCACTGGTAAATCTTGCAATTTCTTCAATAATCATGTCGAGATTAAAGTGATCAACGGAATGCCGCGTGAATCAAGGTGAGTGATGCACCTCATCCCCTTCCACCAAGACCCCCTAATTCCATTTCTATCGAAATTCAATTTCACTGATAAGATAAGAAATCCAATATTCGAAAAATTAAGGTCGCGTGGGTGGAGCCATAATCCGTGTAATTATTTTTTCTCCCAACTTTATGGATCATCCCCAAGAATGCACCGTCCGCCTACTATTATACTATTTCACATATTCATCAAAAAACTATTGACAGTTCATGCACAAAAAAAAGATTAACGTAAAAATCCCCCAGCTATCAATTACCCTTATCAGGATTACTATTGGCACATCCTGTGCTCACCGATCCTACTCTCACTGATCGATTCTCAATATTTCAGGTAGCAGTAGCGGAAGAACCAGGAGACGACGGGCTCGATAAGAAGATAGACGAAAAGTAAAACCTCAGACAGAAAGTGGTAATAATGGGAAAGGGCGATAAACGTGGTACCGCACAGCGCACCGACGGTAAGTACCATAATCCATAAAATTCCCCTGATATTAACTATTAATTTAAGAACATATTAAAAACCTCTAGCCCCCACACCCCAACGTATAAAGAAAATACCTAAAAAACATAAACAATCGATAAAAATAATTTACATTACCACACGATAAAATTTTCCCTGGAATCCAGACGTGGACATGACAATTGGAATTCCCTGGACTTCCGCCTAATTCAAACACTCCAGATGATACATGAGCCGGAATTAATTTCCGGGATTAATACACCCTCATTAGTTTATCAATCATTTATTTGTTGAGAGATTAAGCCTAGCTATAAGCGACGAGTACAATATAGCACACAGTATCAAATAGAAGAAATAAAAAGAAGAATTTGCTCAAACTGTTGATTGTCACGTTTCATCAGCGCTCGCATAGAACTGGGCGACTTGAGATCTTGCGGCGTCGGATATAGCACTTGTACACGGATTAGGATCCCAACTAACTCCAGGGCACCCTAAATACTCGAAACAACTATTCAATACTCGGTGATCACGACTGGGACAGCACTGGACAACAGCCCAGACACAGGCACTCGGTGGATTATTCGATCCATGCTAAAAATTTAAAATCCAGATAACATTAATAATTCTAAATGCTCTCGTATAAAATAATAAAATCTCTCATAATAAATATAAGCAGGTAAAAAACATCTCCATAAAAAAATTCACATTAAATTCCGGTGTCTTAATTATAAAATATTCTTCTGAAAATGAAATTAATTTTTAATTAAATTCTCATTACGTGAATAATGAAAGACTTGACTCACATCGTCATCCCCAAAATTCCCTCGTGAGGGAAAAAGTGGTGATGGGGTAGATGACCTGTGAGATGAATTTGGAACAAGTATGATCCTCGCACTGACAGGAAGGGCATTGAGTCTAGCCTCTTCCCACCTCGGAAGTTTCACATGCGGAGTCTTCTGCTTCTGTTCCATAAAACGATCCCTTTCTTCCCCCAATCGTGTCTGAGTTCTCGAACGCTCATCTACCCGTCTATTTGAATCCCCCGATTCCTCCCTCCTCCCTCCACCATTTCTCTCTCTATATTTCCTTTCCATCTCTTTCATCTTTTCCATCCTTTCCACCTCTTCCCTCCGTCTCTCCTCAGCTCTCGAATCTGAATTCCTATTGCCATTTCTCTGCATCTCAATCCACCTCTCCCGTTCCATTTCCCGTCGCCGCTCCTCTGCCCGCCGCTTCTCCTCAGCTCTTCTCTCTTCAGCTCTTCTCTCTTCAGCTCTCCTCTCCTCAGTTCTCTCCTCAGCTCTCCTCTCCTCAGTTCTCCTTTCCTCAGCTCTCCTTTCCTCAGCTCTCCTCTCCTCAGCTCTCCTCTCCTCAAGCGAATTACCCCTCATATCGTTATTTACTCGATGTCGTCCTCCCAACTGTCTCATCCTCTCCTGCTCGGACCTCCTTGCCTCATCCTCTCGCCTGATCTCCTCCCACCTCCTGCGCTGCTCCTCCAGTCTTCTCCGCTCATCCTCCTGCCTCCTGGCATCATCAACTCGTGAAGAACCGGGATACGCTGGCGGTGGTGATGGCCCCCTTGACCGATCCTGATGCCTCCACCGTGGATCGCTCCTACCGTTTCCCCCCGATATTCTTCTAAATTCCTCAAGGAGTCTCCTCTCCTCATCCCCCCGATTCTCAACGACAATCGGACGATTCCTCTCAATGTACTCCTTCAATTTCCTCTCCCGATCCCTCTGCTCTGCGGACAATCTCAACTCATACTCCTTCTGAATCTTCTCAATCTCCGAGTGTGTCACGTGATCATTTCTCCTGCTCCCATCAATTCTCTGCCTCTCCAATTGCTCCTTTCTTCTCCTATCCATCTCCTCCTGTTGAGCTCTTTGATAATTATCTCGGTACCTTTGAGCCTCGGTTTGCCCTCCCCTCCCATCAAATCCATCATCATCCTCTGAGATGTATCCATCATTTTCACCGAAACCCCACAGACCAGCGTCGTTATTCCAACGGTTTTTATAATTCCCTGACACTGACCTGACCTTACGATTTACCACCAGGTCACCACGAAGTGGCACTTTCTTCCCATCAAACTCAACGTCAGAGTCCACCTCAGGCGCCATATCCCCCCGATGTTTAATTTTCTTATTCACCATCAACTCGAGATTCTTCAGCTTGAGTAGCTCGTCCATGTCCTCGTAACGACGAGGTTGATCGTCCTCGTTGTAATCCCAGTCTATGGTCACTGGATGAATCGGTGAAACAGGTGGTACTTCAACATAAGTATCTTGGCTAGTATTTTTAACGGAAATTGATCTTGGCTCACGGTTGAATTCCTCTGACGATGCTTCAAGCCCCTCACACCCAATTTGAAGCTCCGGCACACCCATTCGATCGTTTTCCTTTCTCTCCTTATCAACGGTTTGTGATGGACGTAAAAATAACGGCTTTTTCTTCATTCCCGGTTTATGGGATTTTTTAAACTCGTAGGTAACCGTTGGCAATTTATTATTCACCAGCTTCTCACGGTGGCTTGGATTGTTCCAGAGGGGTAGAGGTGGTATGCTCAAGTCTGTGTCATCAAGATTCGTTAAACGATAGATTTCAATTGAACCCGGGCCTTGGTCTTCGATTTGCTGACCTGTTGAAGAAATTATTACAACAATTTTTTAATTATCTCACCGATACATTCCATTTTTTGTCCTCGTTGACGAGACACTAATTATTCTAAAAATTCTCCCCCAGTTATCGTGCAATTAAAATGAATGATTATTAAAACATCAGTGCGCACTCTGATGCACTTTCCCCTAATTAACGTAATTAAATATTGCATTTAAAAAATCAAGTGGTAAAGGAACATTAATTACAAACCAAATGATGGTTCATCATAAGCTGGTGACTGCGGAAATTTTTGCCATGAGGCCCGAAGAAATTTATCGATCGATATTTTTTCATTCGAATGTTTAAACGATTTTCCCCCAGCTGTATCCTGAGCCGTTGGTCCTTTTCGTTGAGCCAGCGCACTCCACGGATATTGATCGTCAACAGTCGCGGTTAAATCAGCTGAAGAACATTTCAGTAATGTACCAGGCATCACCACCATGATAACAACCCAAAACATTTTTCCCCTGATTTTTTTCATCCTCTGGTGAAATGAAATTACCACCGGGATATCAGTGCCAGTTCCAGTACCAATCTTGAGAATATCAATTTTAAAAAATGGAATCGTCAGTCCCAGTCAGGATTGTTTGCGCGCACAAGCTACACATCACTGAAGATGAAGTGATCTTGACATACTGCCGGTGCCAGGGCCTCGTCACAGAATTAAATGTACGTCTCACTATTTCCCCTGCCATCTCTCCACCCCGGATACTCATCCGCCACTCTGAATCTTGCTATCTGTCCCCGTTCTCTCTTAGCCATCTCTTTTTATGCACAATGCTGATGCACCTAGGCTCATATAGCACCGAGATAAGCTAGTTGCCCAGAGGCCCCTCCGGTGATCATCACCATCAATTGACATGCCTCATCACTCGTCCTACACTTGCAATTCATCGACCTGATGTAATCCCAATAAATTCATCGGCTCATTTCATAACTTCAACAATTACTGACGCCCGAAGCAACTCATCTAATCAATCCATCATTAACATCCAATTATTCAACTGTAGAATTAATTTTCTCAGGACATGGAGATGCGGATATTTTTCCTGGAAATGACGGGAGATTGGATCTTGTTTCGAGAAAAACATCGGTGAATATTTCCGGGGTGAGGAAAATACAGGGAATCCATTGAAAGTGGTGGAGCTGAGTGGTGGAGATGAGGAACAGTTGGGTACATGGCGTTTCGATTAAAATTCACTTGAAAAATTGCTGTTCGTTCAATTCGCGAGTTTGATGAGTGCAAAAACGCGAACTTTATTCCATTGGTTATTGATATCATCGGGAATACAGGAATAATAGACTTTGTGCCCTCGTAGCTGTTTTATTCTACTTCTCGATCATGCCGACATCAATTTCGAAACCTTGAACTGCAGTCAATCACTTTGCGTACGCAATTTTTTATTGTTCAACGGGTGTTATCCAATTCTTCTGGTGCTGCACCTGAATGAGGAGAGATTTTAGAGTGATGGGAAAATGCCAAAAATTGCCTGTCCGTACGAGAATATTATTCAAATAGCAGGTAGTGGGAATATCTCAAGACTCATGTTGAATAATTGAATGAATAATTCTACGAGTATCGACATGCATCGAGGCGGAATGGGAAATTCCCAAAACGTCATTATATTGTTATCTCATCCGCCAACTGTCAAGTACCATCAATGTGTCAATTATATCATAAAACGGAAATTGTCATTGGCCAGACGTTCAATCGATTGCTCAAACACCTCTCGTACTCCACATACAGCAACACCTCCAATTTCCCTCCCCCATTTCGTGAATTAACACGTTTACACATCACCCAAACCGAGTATATAACACACCATGTGCATTGCGTGTCAAGAAAATTAATAGCCCGTCACAGATCATTGGATCGGTAATCGTAAAAGACCATTAAAAATTTTTATTTTCCTGTGAAAAATGACGCATCGTACATCATCGTAATCAATCGAGAGCATCTCGATAAATTGTTAGAATTGCGTATGTACTGCGACTAGTGAAACTTACCCTCGTAATTTAAAACACAGGGTCATGGAAAAACAGATGTTTGTGCTTTTAAGATAGACACTCAGAGTTCAGGACTTTAAAACAAGATGCGACCTTCAAATTAATTTCACAATTCCACTTTATTGTTGTAATGAGCGCAAAAGTTCTTTTGCGTATTTGTTATTCGAAAGGATTGGCATAATCCGTGTAACTTTAATTGCTTTCCATCAACTTTAATTAACAAAAACTTGAACAAAACTTGTATGTCATCAGCTCTGGTGGTTGCTGATGCTCGATTAATTTATTTGAGTTATTACCGATTGGCGCGGGGATTAATTAGACCTGATAACGTGATTTCAATGGCTTCCGTTTTTTTTTTTCGCTGACTCTTCTGAGTGGAGTTCATTCGTGAAATAGAAGAGTTAGTATCCGGAATAATGAGAACAGCGCAAGGTCGGGTTTCATTGAAGTGTCTTGCTCATCATAAATAATATGACTCCAGAGAGTCCAAGGAGCTGCAAGACCTTTCCCACAGATTACTGCGCCAATCTTTAACTATATAAACAATAACTGTTCATTAACGTATACGACTTTTATTCCACTCAACACCATTTGTCAATTATCGTGAAACTAAATACAAAAAAAGAAAAAATGGAACTAGAACGTGCCAATTATTTATAGTATTTTTAATGTTTTACCATCTTTCTGCCAATTTAATGGATCCACTCTATATTAATTTGTTAATTACTCTTCCAGCCAGTACTAATCTGGTGGGAAAGTTTACACAAAGTGTGCGAAGGATTGTGCAAGATGTCAAGGACGAGGGAACAGCAAGTAAGTGAAAAATTAATAAAAATAGTATATAATTAAAATGGTTTCACTGGGAGAAAGTGAAAAATTTGAATGAGTGAAAAATTCAAAAGAAAGTTTAAAAAGGTAAATTTTGATTTATGGGAGTTCAACTGGTACGTACTGGCACTTGCCCAAATAAGCTGTTGCATTTCCTCAGGTTCAAAGGAAATACAAGCAGCGATCGACCACGTGCCAATAAACCCTGCCAACCCAGAAATTCTACATTTATCCACTTGACGGGGTGGAATAAATATTGATTATTAATTTCACTGATTCCCCAGGTGGTCAAACTAAAGAGGAAGTTATCGAGACTAACGAACGTCTGAGAGCTGTCAGAATACGTCTCGATGCCAGTTACGAGACAGCAAAACGAGCACTCGTTGATCTCATGATGAAGTACACCGACAGCAAACAAGTTAGAAATATATTTCAACGATATAATTTACTGAAGGTGATGATAAAGGTGAGAAGGAATTTACATTCTCATTGGAAGCTCATGGAATTATCAAATGTGATTTTAAAAAATCCTCTGAATGATTCCCAGGATGTGATTAAACTGGAGACTCAATATTGGACTCTAGTTGACATACCGAGACAAGAAAAACAGGAAACTGTTCCTGTATTTGTATTACGGGCCTGTGCTATTATGGAAAAAACACACAAAAGCGGTGAGGGTGTTAAAACTTCAGCGAGACTAGCTGAAGAGGCAGAGAGTAAAAGAGAACGCATCGATCGCCTCGAGAGTACGTATTTTTTTAATTCATCCCAGCGTTAATTACAATTTCCCTCTAATTGTAGTCTCGTTCTATTATAATTCATTAGCCATGAGAATTTATTCTCGAACTTTATTACATATTTCAAGATTTAACAACAGTGCAGATTGAAACTGAGAATACCCAGATGACGAACGATCTTTACAGACTCCTGAAGAAATACACTGGCCTTAGAAATCTCATCCGAGACCTCAAGGTTAGTCATTAAATCCACACCCTCATTATCAGCTAATTGTGATCGTAATACGTTATTTAATTGGATAATTTATTTGTTTAAAACCCGAAGGCTCACGACGATTTAATACGCAATTGTTTCAACGTGTCAATTTAATGTACAACAATTCATATCGACGATACAAATAGACGCGATTAATAATGAACACGTCAGAATAAGAACAATCTATTTAAAAATCTACATTTTATCATGCAAAAGTAATGAAGTGAGTTGAAATAATTCTGTGTTGAACAGTCGTGGAAACTTTCATTTGTAGATATTTAATAGTGAATTATTATTTCTGTTACTAGGAAGAGTACAATAGCTCAAAAGTTTACCCAATGTTTCCACGCTACACTATTCTGAAAGATATGATAAAGGACATTATGCACAATCCCGACTACATGGAGGTCTGCCACGAGGTAGATCAGGCATAGCGTCCAGACCCCCTCCATCGTTCGCCCCGTATGACTTTGTAAACTTGTTCTTTTTTTTTTTACAAAGTGTCATGATGGGTGCGAATTGAATGAAGGGGGTACTTGTGGAAGAGTAATAGCGGTTTCCTATTAGACTAAAGAACCTTCTTCGACAGAATTTAGAAATGCTTAATGCGCTTTCTAGTGGTTATTATAACTTGGATCTTTAGTATAGGAGTGACTGAATTTCAGTATTCACAGTATTAATGAATGTTTGAGATTATTGTTATGACTAGTTGATGGTTTTTTATTCATTTGATTTACAGGTTTGGGTAATTGACATGTTTACTTTCAAGTAATTGAAAGATTGTGATTAAAATATTGGATTAAAGCCAATTGCAGATGCCGTACGTACAGATATATTTGGAATTAATAGTGGAATTAATGGAGAATAAATTATGTCAAATGTTTGCTCTAGTTTATAAATATTTGATAACAGATGCGATGAGAATAGCCGCTTTCACGTCGAAACACAAATTTATGTTGAAGGTAGTGAGTAATGAAATTTCTAAAAATAGTTGTATTACCGAATATAGGATGTTTTCTTTATAAATATAGTGCTGAGTATTGAGGGACTAGTCAGAGAAAATGTAACCGTGATAATTGTTCTGAAGATCAGAACATTACATATATCTAATTATGAGAGTGAAGGAATTTCAATGATTATGTCATACCAAAAGTTGTTCAATTCACCGGACGTAATGCGTTCATAAAATATATTATTTTCAAAATTTCGAGATTTAGATATGTGATTAGTGAATTCGTGAGCGATCGTCGCGGGTAGAGATTGATTTAAGTATTCGTATATGAATAGATCGGAATAATTCATATATAAAGTCTAGCATTTTGTGCCATTTTCGTACATTTTCAATAACTGATACTAGTTTAAATATTAATTAGACGATAAAAATAACGCGAGTAAATTCTTCGAGGTGAGCGCAGAGAATTGAAAATCCTTTAGACATATTATTTTTTAATGTTATTACCAATCTGCGATTTATGAAAGCTTTGAAGGATGTTGTGGGTATTTTATCAATTCTGGAAAAAATGTGAGTGATTTCACAAAATATTTTTATCCATAAACTCGTGTTTTCACCTGATCTGGGGAATTCACTACTGGTTCTAGGCCGTCGATCAATTGATGGATTAAACAAAGGACTTGGTGATTGCCCCACCTCGTAAACTGCACTTTACCCGCCCATAAATAAATATATTTCCACAGCAAATAATCATTTTGACGTGTGAAATTTCTCCCCTGCATATGTACAACCCCTTTTTCCACCCCGTTGATTAAAACTGCCTCATAAATATCGATTATTTCTGCCTGACGATTTATTAAATAAATTCAATGAAATATGACACTTGAAGAAAAATCTGCAGTAATATAAAGACACCGGGAATATTATGAGGCATATTTACCACTGTAAATAAATACATATCTATTGTTCTCGGGGTGAAAAAGTTTTTCGGGCTTTTGGGTACTTGGGGAGGGACTGCGAGACGATTTCTGCCAAATTTTACAGTGGAGTAACATGGGATAGTTCAATCGGACAGTAAGCGAATCGATAGTCGACTAAAATAGCATGGAAAACGGTACATGGAAAAAAATTTAACGGTGGAATAAAAATAGCATGGAGATCCCTGAGGGGTATCACTATTCAGGGCAAAATCACATGCATCCTCCAGTCGATAGTTGACAAAATTCTCATTTTATTCCACTATGGAATTTATTACTCTCCGTCTCGGATAGTCTCGATCATTTCACAATTTTTATCCCGAGTTGCGATTTTTAGCGGTCCGATATCAAGTGAAATGAAATTTTCATAATCTCGATACTATTAACTGTCTATCTTATTTCAACTTATCGCTAGTCGAGTAAATAATATTTAGTAATCATATCATTCTCGTCAGTCCCATCACTCAGAATAATCTATTAGTTTAATCGAGCGAGAATATTAAAATTCATTTGTTAATTTATCAAGATTTATTCTAAATTAGTTAAATCAGATAAATAGTTGGATATTTTCTCGCAATAAAAAGTGCAAATAAAATGACAAATTTATAATGTATTTTTTACCGAGCGTTTGAAATTCAATATTTTTATGCTACACTGGAGAAACACGAGATAGAGAATGGAGTAAAATAAAAATCTCAGATAAACTTGTAAAAGAGATAATTATTCTGGGGAATATTTGTAATATCTAATATCAAAATGTTAATCAAGTTCGATTGATCTTGAAGATTTCGACGATGAAGAAAATTCGCGAGACTAGTCGAGTGCCAAAAAAAAAAATTGGAGACTATTTACGAGAGTTTATATGAATGCAAGTGTGTCTATATTCCTGCGTACTCATATGAGCACAGACATATAGTCTTACCAACAACTAGATATTGAAGAAGATGAGAGAAAATTAATAGTCAATTAATGAAACGATTGAGTTCCTTTTCGGGCGAAAATGGAAATCCATACCCAATACCATCTATTACTCTCGTTTTTCTTTATAAAAAAAAAAATCTTCTGCGGGAATCAATAGTCAGGTACAATTTATTTATTGAAAATAAATTATATGAGAAGAGAAATATTATTTATTACCCCACGCCCACCGTTTCATCACTTGGCTATTAAAATTAAAATTATTGAGCCGTTTTATATAAGTATAATTCTTCTAGTAGAGATTTCGATGGTGATTATGTGAAATATTCAAGTCTTACTCTTTAAAATTATGATAATTAAAATTAAACGTTCAAATGCTAGAGTCTAGGGAAAATAATTCCTATCTGTTTTGTTCGGAAATGGGACGAAATTTAGATAGCAAGTACTTAGAATTGGAGTGCGTTAGAGGTGATATGTTTTGCCTGTCATTTATGGCTGTATATTTAATAATATTGAGCTTGAATACGTGGGTTCGCTCAGCAGAGAGCACCTAACAAAATTTTGACCAATCTACTTGTCTATATCATATTCTCTAAGTCATTTCAATTGTCTACTTGATATATTAAACATCAGAGCAGAGATTAAAAAATAGGAATGCTATTGTACTTTCTCTTATCCTGCTTTTTTATATCATCAATATCTTCGCGTATTTTTTGCAATTGAATGAAAAAATTCAAGAGAAAACTCGACGAAAAATTGTCATTATTTGAGGATGTTACATTTTTCCCCATTTTTCATTGTACTCTCAACACAGAGTGACGAAAAATAATTATCTAATAAATTTCGCAGTTGTTCCACTAATTTTCTCTTGGATTTTCCAACGGGAGGCGCAGATTGTCGAAAAAAAATTTTAATTCTACTCAGAGAGAAATGCTGCTGAATAATGTTGACAGTGTCTCACAAATTGTTTATTAAATCAAAGAATAAAAATGATATATGATAAATTAATTGACAATTTTTATATAAAATATATTTTCGCTGGAGTATTCTTGGCATCTTTGTAAAATGAAAAGAGTGCAAATAAAATGGATAGATACGAGAGAATACGAAGGGATCAATGGGAGTAAATGAGTAGAGAATGTCAGTTGAAATAAAAATCTCCAATTGTACTGATATTTTTATATAATTTTAATTTGAATTAAGTCTGACCTACATAAAGTCATGGGTATAATTGAAGAGGGAACCGCCTTGGTGAAAAAAAAAACATGTTGCGAAACCACTGTACCACGCCTTTTTGCCACATCTCTTTAACGTACCGCGCAAAACCGTAACAACTTTTGAAAGCCGGAGCCGTAACCCAAATAAATTTCTTGTGGAGTAAATCTTGCATGTGATCAAGGTCTATTGGGGGGTTGATACCGGTTGTCTTATTACGTCAAGGTGACCACTTGCCTGAGGAATTTGTCAGTTTCTCGAGGGTATTACGAGTACCACAATGTAATCGTTAACATTTTTGTTTTCTTTCCTCCCGTTGGCTATTTTTTTTTAGGCAGTCACCACCTCTTCCAGGCGTATATATAGGGGATTCACTGGAATCACAAGCATCATTCGACTTTCGTTCATTTTCAAGACACATCACAGCAATTTAACAAATAAATCAGCCATGACTAAGGTAATTTGATAAATCAATCTGTACCAAGCACAACTCGATGCCGAGGAGAAAGAAGCTCTCGAATAATAAATATTTAATTAATCCCTACGAAAATTATGTAACTTGATTGTGCAGTTTCGTTGATAGTTTTAACTGCCAAATCAATAGCTGTAGATTTTACTCGACAAAAGAGTCTCAATTTTTTTTCACTAGAAATTCATGTGCATGAATATTTCTAGGTTTCACAGTAGATTTTGAATTGAATTTCCGTCAAGGAGAATTGAAAACTCGGAATTTTTTCACGATCTGTGAATTATTTTCTCGGTGAATAATGAATAATTAATTTTTCAGTTCTTCATCGTTCTCACCTGTCTGGTAGCAGTGGCCAGTGCTGGATTCGCGCCGATCAGTTACAATCTCCAGGAGCCAAGCATCTCCTCGCAATCCTCAAATATCCTGAGGAGTCCAGGAAATCTTCAGCAGATCTCAACCTATTCGAAGACCGTTGACACTCCATTCTCCAGCACCAGCAAGTCAGATGTTCGTGTGAGCAGTCCAGGTGTCTATCAGACCTTGAGCTATGCAGCACCAGCTCATCTTCACTATGCAGCACCAGCTCCAGTAGTCCATGCTGCTCCAGCACAGCTTCATTATGCTGCACCAGCTCCAGTGGTTCATGCTGCACCAGCTCCAATCCATTATGCTGCTCCAGCAGCAGTTGCTGCTGCTCCATTACACTACGCAGCTCAAGCCCCAATTGCTGCAGCCCCCGTCGTTGCCCACGCCACTTTCTCTGGACTCGGATATTCCTACGCTTGGTAAATAAACAATATCGACGTCTAATTGTAATCGATCCCTCATTTATTATGTGTATGTAAATATTGAATGTATAAATAAACTCGCTAAAATTGTTCTTTGCATAATTATGGATAAATAGTTCCTTTAATTACGAAAAAAAATTATAAATTCATTGTCAATTCATTCTATTCGTTCGAGACAAAGGGTTCATTTTGATGATGAAAAAAAAATAAGAGACACTAAATTGTTGTGTTACTTCTTTTATTTCGATTTCAAGTGTGAACAATTATTGGAAAAAATGAAATTAAACATCCCCTGTGTGATTAAATTAAGCCATTAACATTTCTTTCATACTGTTGTACTTATAATTTTGTTTCCATAAAGCAAGTGAATAATACAATCAACAACAGGACCTGCGATCTCTGTTATACGTGAGGTGTAAGGAATTATTATCATACAATGTACTAAATTCATCTCTGAAAATGGATTGTTTCACGAATTAACTTCACAATTAATAGAAAAGGGTGTATATTACGAATTAGTCAGAAAGCGTCGCACGTCTGCAATTTGTCAAAATATTGAGTTACATTAAACCTAATAAAAACCTTTCTAAATGAAATTTATAAATCGATAGATCCGAGTTACACCGAAAAAAAAGAAACTGAATGAATCAATTGTTGTAGCAAAAAATTACATTGAAGTCGGAGACCAAAAATTCATTTCTCGTAATTCCGAGGGTTTAGCCTGGAACGTAACAGTGGCTTGCGTTATACTTGTTTTCGGAGTTGTATCTTCTTTACCCAAGTATGATAGATTCTGGGAGGAAATCGACTTCTTCCTACTCAATGTCTTGGGTGGAACGACATCGGCAACTTCATCCTCCTCTTCAATTTTATTGCCCACAATTTCCCTCGACTGACTCAAGATACTGCTTAATAACCATCCACCCTGGTACTTGTCACGATCGGGTATGAATGATCCGGTGAAGTAGCGATTACCTTGCGCTCGTCTACGGGATTTTGGGGAACCCTCTGGAGATGACGTTGGTGAGGCGATCGGGGTCACTGGCAAAGATTGACTCCCTTTACGAATTAAAATTTCATTTTTCTCCATTTTAGAATTCACGTGTTGCTCAGATTTTTTATTCAAGGTACCCAGCATCATACGAGTCGCCACGTTGACGATGGACTTGCCACATCGCGCAGGTTCACCATGAAATCCGTCGTCAGTGCCTTGAGATTTGGTTTGAGGAGATTTTTGAAGGAATTCATATTTGCTTCTCTGACGTTCTTTACTGGCTGGTACAAACGGTTGACAAGGAAGTGGATGTTTACTGAAATCAATCTCCTTAATATCCGATATTTTATTTATTCCACTGGAGGGCAAACTTTTCTCGTCATTAACAGGTTTTGGGTCGTTGAGAACTTGATTGATTGGTCGAAACCCTTCCTGCTGTTGAGTAGAGTTATTCGATTTAGCGTATCTTATGCAGAGAAAGCTGTCGTCGTGGGAAGGTGGGCTGAAGGTGCCCTGGTCGAAATCGAATCTGAAAAACGCGGGGTAGATTAACACTTGACCAATGAAAAATAAAACGAGAGGGCAATTAGTGCAGCTGTCTGATCGTCCTCAATTTGTTGGCGAAAGCATCAAATCCATTTATGGAACAGCTCCAACCAATGAACACTTGATCTATTTTAAAACCAGGGCAAAATACAAAAGCAATATTTACCAACAGTTCTCAGAACTTCGACACGATAAAAAAAAAGTAATAGCATTATGCATTCAGTGATGGAAGTGTTAAAGCACTAGTGCGTTACTATTTTCTGCCGTCAATTTACACATTTACATCTCTTCAAAGTTAATTCCACTATTAAACAACTGGAATTTATCATTTGCGACGGAATAATTATGGAACAATTGGTTACGTAACAGATACTCACCGGCTATCTACTTTTCCTCTCATCCACTGGGGGAAGGACATGCCATTGCCAAGTAAATGGTCCGGTTGCCTTGACGAACCCATTATCAAGTGTATCAAATTTTTTTTCTCTTACGTCGACAATGTCTTTTAGTTCTGTAGAAAAATTAATTGACAATTTTCTGGTCTCTGTTTTTTATTCCCTGGTATGAATTTGTTGTTTTTTTTTCTGTTTACTTTGTGTGATTTTTAATTAATTGCGATCGTTGAAAAGATTTAAATGTAATAGTTTCAATTAATTTTGGCTGGACACCTCTAGTTTATTGGAAACCTGGTGAAGAAAATCTTAAGAATTTGACATCACACGCACCATTCTACTTATCTGCAACAGAAAAAAAAATCATAAAACATTAAAAGTACAAATATTCCCTCGTCTATATTCTCAAGGGAAACTCATATTCAATTCGAGAAAAACGAGAATAAGTGAATGTTTTTATTTAAAATTTCCACCGCATCTAAAAAGGCGAATGTGTACACTCGATTCGTCAAGAGCATTCCAGAATACCAATAAACAATTGCATTTGCATTTCAATTGATGATTCCATCAATTTTTGAGCGATCAAGGCGATATCAAGAGTGAACGTCAGATGCGTCACAGGCTTCTCAGTTATTTCCAAACAATCCCAACAAACGGCGTACCGTCACATAATGATTTCTGGTTGACAACACTGTTGTGTATCAAACCAATTGCGCACAAGAGAGTGTATGAGTACTGTTAATTAAATATTAATTGAATATTTCAATTACCCTGCACTTTCTGCACATCGTTGAACTCTCTAAATAGAACTCCATAATATTTAAGATTGGGGAAAAATATGCGTTTATTGAACAGCTGTGCAGTGATGTATAGCTGTCTTCAACGATCAGGTAACTGAGAGTTTATTGGAATAGGAATTTTTTATCCTCTTCCTTCCTATTTTCCATCTCCTATCCTTGTCCTTTCTTATGTAAAAAAAAGAGATTATTGGTGAGTCCACATGAAAAATCTTATGCGACTGTCTTTATGTAGCTGACACATGCGCATGCGCATAATTTCTAGATTCTCCACTTTTCCGGCGGGGAATTCCTCTTCCGGTTTTTCATGCGCTAACCTCCCGTCGTAGGTGAGTTTCAGTTAAAAATAATCCGAATAAATCTCGATTACGAGCTGTAAATAAAGTGTTTTTTCAGTTAAAATCGAGAGTCCCGTTCAGGCTCGAACGAATGATTATAATATTTTTGGTTTGTCGGTGGTGGAATTATATTCGTTTTGACTGTTAACAATGTACCAGATGAGGCCTCAGCAATGACATAGCCTGTGTACTCATGTCATTGTATTATAAACGATGAGAATGTACTCCTCGAACTTCGATTTGTTTTGGAGAGACAATTGTTAAAATGTGAACAGGTCATTTCGTTTTTTTAATTAATCATGATGTATTTTTTTTTAAAGGAGCGAAGGCAGAATGAAGTTGAACAAGCTCGTAACCTCTTCCAGAAGGAAAAACCGTAAACGCCACTTCACAGCACCTTCTCACATCAGACGTCGGCTTATGTCCGCACCCCTGTCTAAGGAATTACGACAAAAATATAATGTCCGTTCGATGCCAATTCGTAAAGACGATGAAGTGCAAGTGAGTGATCATTTTTTGACACGGTAAAAAAAAACAGGTGTTCTACGACCAAAAAAAAAGTGGCTAATTATCATTGATTGGGGAAATATGAACTTGTTTTTTTGTAATTAAAGGTGGTGAGAGGCCACTACAAGGGTCAACAAATTGGAAAGGTTATCCAGGTGTACAGAAAAAAATTCGTCATCTACATTGAGAGAATTCAGAGAGAAAAAGCAAACAGTACCAGTGTATACGTTGGTATCGATCCCTCGAAGGTATTTATTATTTAATTGCAACATTAATTCTGTTTGAGTGGTGTTTTTATTAATCCGATGACATGATGATTTAAACCATTCACGGAAAATCGGAGTTTCGCTCGATCGATGAACGGTCCTCAGGGTTTTCCTGACGACTAATTAACTCGATTGAATTGATGCCGATTAATGTAGAATAGTTGGCGCTGACTTAATAATTCAATAATTAATTCAATCTCCTGTCTTTCCATTCACATAAATAATTGAACGAATACGATTATTTTTTCAGACTGTTATCGTCAAATTGAAGATGGACAAAGACCGCAAAAAGATCATCGATAGGCGAAGCAAGGGACGTGCGGCTGCCCTAGGTAAGGACAAAGGAAAATACACCGAGGAGACCACGTCTGCTATGGAAACATCGTAAATATAATGTATTCTCTCTCGGATGCGAATTAAATAAAAAAAACACAAAATTTTCACTTGATATTTCTTTAATCTTCCATCCCTTCTTTTTTCATATCAACTTTTCCAGCTTTACCAGACCGTCAATTTTATTCAACATCCAAATATTTAAAGCTCACGAAATACTTACATACAATTTGTGCATAAAAAGAAATAAACTGTTTTTTGAATTGATAAGTATTTACATCACCAAATAATCCATGAGTTTATCGTTTAGCAGCAGCTAGTGCTTGCAGAATATGTAAAAATAAATTAATAATATCGAGATAGATGTTGATTGCAGCTAGGATATATTCCTCGGGGGAGAGGATATGCATCAGCATGTGGGTGTCGTAGATTATGAAAAGAGCAAAGAGAATAGCACCACCTATAGTTGTCAGCCGCTCCAAAATGGGACTCTGGAGGAATAGTTGCATGATGCCACCAATTAGTAGAGCACTGAGACCAGCGAACAGGCTGCAATTAAATAAATGATAAACTCAAAATAGCAAATGCAAAGAATTGTATGTAAATCGAAGGATTTCTCTACAAAAAGTGAGAAAATTACTGCGCAAAATCCCTTACCCGAATCCCAAGAACGAGAAATCTCGTTTTGACTGGAAAGTATAAACGGTCAGTCCAATAACAATAGCCATTGTAATAAACATTGCTTGAAGCACTAGACTGACGTCGAAGAAGGTTACGACAGTTCCTACAGAGTAAGATAAGATGATAGTCTAAAAAAAGAAAATAGAGTTTCAATTTTGAAGATTAAAATATTGACTATTCCATAGTTAATTATTGAGAATGCCGTACAAATGCGCCAAGGAGAATTAAATTGGTTGGATGCTCTCTTCTCTTGAAGTGTAGGGCAATCAGGATTCCAAAGGTTGCGAAAAACGATACTCCCATCATCCATGAGCTACAGAATAAGAAAATACCACAATAAAATAGACAAAACGAGAATTACAAGGAGATAATAAAATTACTTTTGCTGGACGCATTGCTTGACAGGCTCGCATAAAATAAAAACAGCAGAAATGACAACTGTCAGCAACAGCTGCACGGAGATGAGGCCGTATACCTTCCGCAGGAATGCTGTGTCATAATTAATAAACATTTATATTATGAACTTAATCTGGGTTTATAATAATTCGATTTTAATTAATATACTTACCCATGCGAATTTTGATGTGCGCATTGTGGACATTATTGCGATAAGCAAAATCATTTTGTATGTTGGAGGAGTCATCTGATTTTCCCCCATTCTCCACATCCTCCTCCGCCAACAGCAATGGCACAGTAGCCATGGTTCACCTGTAATTGTAGTAATAATTGACGATAACGAAATGTTGATAAGATTTTTTTGGGAGTGAGAGGAAATAATCGACTTTGGGCATATGGTGTGTTCCGAGCGAATTCCCAGTGTTTCCATTCTTTCCAGATTATTAAAAATCTCAACGAATTCCTCGATTTTTTTTTGACGTTTCGACGCAATCTGTGACCTATTTCAATTTTTCATTTTCTCCATCTGTCTTTTTTCAGAATTCTCCAATAGATCGAATTCCCTCGAGAACAATCCGATTTCCTGGTGTCTTTAACGCCAACAATTACTGATAAAATGGTTATTCCACCAAAATTATAAATTTACATACCGTGATTTCAAAAATTGTCGCACAACCCCAATTAACCTCTCATCCAAGACTGAAATCACTCAGTAATTTTCTTTCTCTTCTCTATAAATTTGGGTGAAAATTTACCAGCTGACTGTTCAGGTGAAATTAGTACGACGTCAATTAGTCACTTATTGGGCTTGTATAGTAGAGGAAACCGATTATTTTACTCCGTAACTGCCCGAAGAGAAAAACAAATAATAATTTCTGATTCGAGGAATGTGGCATCGCCTGAATGGCGGGACAATTCAAACAAAGTACTATTTCATTCATTTTTTATTTATCTTCTCTCTTGCATTAATGCACTCGCACGCAAATTACGGAACAATTTTATTCAATACTCAATTTTATTCATCTCCAAAGCATTATTTCAATCATAGGAAAATATTTATTATAATATTTATAAGTTGTACACAAAATATAGCATAATATATGCATTTTTATCGAATATATATGATATCGATATATATCGAATATATATATGAATTTTTATCTTACAATAAAAGCCACAATCGATAATTTTAATGGCTCCAGTGACGATTAGTCCGAATCCTCGATCATCTGGTCGTAAAAGCTCTTCCTTGGAATTTTTATTTCATCCTTACTCTCATTAATCGTCTCACTTTCGTTTTCCAATAGATCTCCATTCCCGACGTTGAAAACATCTTTATATTCATGCAAACCCACTGAATGCCTCTCTTTCCTCTTCTTCGCCTTGCAATTTAATTCAACATCACTTCTACTCACGTCAGAACTGTCACCGGAATTTTCTTTCACCTCTGCACTAAAGGAATCTCGAAAATCATGAAACATTTCTTCCTCTTGATACATTTTTTTACGTTTCTTGGATTTTTTATTTTTCTTCGCAGTCGGAAATGACTCGGGAGTTGAGATATATTGTTCCTCGTATTTGACATCTGCCTTCGAATTATTTTCAATATCGATAAGGGACTCCTCTTTGCAAAACAGCCTTCGAAGTATTTTAACTTTCTTCTTGCTGCGAACTTCCGTCTTTGATTCAGTTCCAGAAACACTGGGGGATTTTATATCTCCAGACATTTCCATTCGCTCTATGAATTTCTCTTCTCTCATGTCTCCATCGGAATTATTTTCATCGCCGAGAGTCTCTTTCTCGCTAGATAATTTTCTGAGTTTCTTAGACTTCTTCGTGAGTCCATGATCTACATGAGATTGATTTTGTGAGCCATCGACGTCTGTCAACTCCTCCATCAAATCTCCAGTTTTTTCAAAATCATTATTAATCCTCTGAATATCTTCAGGTCCTTCAAAAAATACGTCATGCTTTTTTCGTTTCTTCTTTCTCCTCGAGATCATCCGCTCTTCGTCATCATTTCCCAATGAACTTTTAATACATTCAAGGGTTATCTCCTCCTTCAGAGCATTTGGCTTTTCATCAATAATATCGATAGCATCATCATTCACAAAGGCATCCTTAATATTACCCGACTCCAGCTGATCACTATCACCCTGACCACCCAGAACCAGAGGATTTCTCGATTTGATGTTCCTGGGAAACGGCACAGACATTCGTGATTCTAGTCCTATCTTTGATCTCGTTATCACATCATCCCTGACGTGTTGTCTCACAACAATATTGTCTACAGGTTCGATGATTCCCGTTTTATATCGATTTCTAGCATCACCACAATTCATAATACAAGACATGGGCTCTGAATCCTTCCTCTGCACTTCATACCGACCCTCTCCAATAATAATCTTCCTCTCTCCTAATCTCAGCCTCTGGCCCTCCAAATTCCTTTCCAAAATCGATTTCGGTATCTCCATTAAATAAATATCATCATCCTCTCCAATATCCCCAAGGGTGAACGATGCGACTGCCTCAGAGGGAACGAGATCACTCCCTTCAATAAACTCCGGGATGCTCGTGGGTCTCGTCAGGATTTCACTCAATTCTGGATCCACCACGTCTCTTAAACCCTCCGAATTCTCCCTCTCAATTTCCTCCTGAAGGACATTCGCTTCATCCTCATACCAGTCATCCACACGATTCGCCCTGGCAGCAAGGGTATTTAAAACATATCTCAGAGACTCAGTTTCACTTGCAACAGCTAGAGACATTCGCTCTTCCCTCTTCGATCTCTCCCACTCGTCTTCTTCGTGAAAAACGGAATGCTCTGGGTCCAGAGCGTTATACTCCTGCTCATCAGAATTGTAATCGTTTAATTGATCCCTGAATGATGGAAAATTGAAACGATATTCAGTGACTCGATGGTAAGGCCTGAATTCATCGTCTTGATCATCTTCCTCTTCCTCAGGCTCCTCTGAATATTTCGTGAATCTCTCAGGAGTTGTGGTTCCTTCAGATCTAGGGATTATCTCCCTCGGGGATAGTGGAGCCTCAGTAGAAGATAATTTCTCTTCTGCCCTGGTCTTTTGACTTTTTACGATCATGTACTTCGATTTTACAACTTCAGTGCACGTGATCTTCACATTAGCTATCTTCTTGGATGGAGTAATTACTTCAGTTTTGTCTTCAGTTTTATCAGTTTTTTTCTCTTTAGGTACTACTGGCATTTTGGGTGAGAACTCTCTGATTCTTTCTCTCGAGTTATTTCCCTCCTCTTCTTTAGATTCGGGATATTCCTGTGGTGAAACCTGAGGATTGGGGGAATCTTCATCGATTCCGGAATCCAGAATCCCGAATTCTCCATCTGAACTTGAAATTCCTAGATTACGGGTTTCAATTCCATTTTTGATGGGACTTGAGGTGTTTTTGGTTTTTTCGACAGTTCCAGGTGGTGTCTCGCGTGATATCTCATCAAGTACTGTCATCAGGTTTCGTTTCACCTCCTTCGGGGTTTTAGGACTCCTGCCTACGATTGAGGGAGACGAGACTGATGCCTTTCCAGTTAATTTATTCGAGTCTCCTGGATTATTAATATTTCGTTTTTCATAATTCTCTTCATTTACAGGGGAATCTTTTCGGGTTATCGATTGATTAGACTCTGGAGTTGATTTTCTACTAGCTTCTGCTACTAAATTAGGTTTTGAATCATTTACTGAATCAATTTCAGCTGCGATTTTTTTATCGAACTCTTTTACAACATTTTCAACATATTCTTCGATGTCTTTGATATTTTCTCCATTTCTTGCATCGAATTCTTGGCTGAAAGCGGTTAGATTCGGTGGATCAGTATCCACAAAATCATTTTTCTGTTCCTCAGTTTCATTATGAAATGTAGAATCACTTGTAGAGATCTGAGAAAATCCATTCGTGTCAATTGCATCCAGATGTTTATCTTCATGTAAAAAATCATTTTGACATGCAAGTGCGTTTTTCCCTGGAGATGTTTCGGGGTCTTCCCGGTTCATGTCACTCTCCACAACGTTCAGCTCAGGCTGGATGATGATCTCTTCCTTTTCAAATATATCGTCTCCATCCACTGAGTTCTTCCTGGATTTATTTTCTCCAGACTTCAATGATATGTCGTCGGTACTCTCAATTGTCTCCCATTTTTTGTTGTCTTCGTCTTCGGATTGCTCGCAATCTGAAGTATGAGGGGTCATGAATTCTCCCTCGTCGGTGGTGTAAGCTGCCGGTGTTTCCTGGCCATTTATAGAGCTGTCTGTAAAATATATCCTGCTGGCGTCGGCTGCTAGGTGCGGATCTACCCCGTTGGTAATCATTTTCGATATTTTCTCGTAGATGTGGGTTGTGGCGTCATTCGTGGTTTTTTTATTATTCATTCGTGACATTTCCATTGTTTTTATTCGGTGTGTGGTACCTATTTTTTTCACGTCTTTCTTGTATTGTCTTTCGGGAGAAATTTCAACGACTTCTGGAGAAGAAAATCCTGATTTCCTGGGTTTATCAGGACTTTTTAAGGTGTTCTCCTCAATATTTGAATCTTGTCCCGAAATTGGTTTTGAAATGAATTTTCTCCGGAGGGAGTCAACATCAACAAACTCAAAATTTTGGATTACAGTCTTGGATGTCGTGTCTAACTCATCGCTCGAGTCTTTATTTTCAATATTTATTCGCGTAGTTGTAGAATATTCTTGATTTCCACACTGACTTATTCGCCTCCCAGACGAGTCCGAGTCCCCTGAGTCATCTATATTCGAATCTCGCTCTTCAGGCCCGAGCCTCAATTTTCTCCCAGGGAAAGAATGATTTTTCCCCTCACGAACTACTGATGCCTCTAATTTATCTGGTTCACCATCGCCATTCGAAACCCTCGAAATATTCTCAACTCTTTTTAATTCTTCCACAGAAGATTGAAAATCGTCAATCGACTCTTCTGCTGATTTATCAGAATTAAATTGTCTTCCCGCCATCGATTCATCGTCTTTCTTTCGTTTATTCGATAAAGCTGCAGTTTTTGAAATTTCTGATGGACAATTCCTGATCCTTGCACTCTGCCTTCTAGAGACATCCAGATTACGTCCACCCCATTCAGACTCTGAAGCACTGGTATCCGATTTCTTTCGTCTATGAACACGATTTTTAAAACTACCTCTAGGTCTCCCACGCTTTCTCTTCGTAACAACCTCAATCCTCGGCTCAGATTCATCAGTAGAACCTGGCGACTTCAACATCATGTCCTCCAGGAGTGTCCGAAGAGCACAAGCCTTCGGAGTACTACCTTTTTCATGAGGCTGAAATAAATCATCACTGGAGTCTGAATCATTCGTATCCTCGTCCTCTGATAGAGTTCTCAAAATAGCTGTTTTGGCTTTTATGTAGTCAGGGTACGAAATCATCCGGTTCGCTGGCCTTCGCAGATGATTATTCAGCAATTTTGTTCGTCTTCTCAATCTTCTTCGTTCTGTGAAGAGATGAATCAAGGATTCATCCTGCATTCGCTCGGTTATTGTGTTTGAAACTTTTTTCCAGGTTATCTCGTATTTGGTATTGCCAGGCTCTGGTCCACGCCACATCTTGACACGTTATAACTAATTGAGTTATTGGTTTAATATTTTTATACGATTACTCTAAATCCTTTTGGGATTTCGGGGATTTACGAGCAATTGTTTAATATGTGTTTTATTATTCCGTTCATATGCACATGCAAAACTTATTTTGGATATGAAGTTATTAATTTTCACTGAAGATGGCAAGATGAATAGCAGAGCACGTGGATGAACGTCAAACGTCCATAACCTAGTCGAATAGCCATGAATAAATAATTGAAACACCAACAATAACATGGAAAAAAGAAAGTGGAAGGATTTGGAGTCAAAACTGAGTGATACGGTTGTAAAGACACTTGAGGAATTGAAATTCACATATCCAACGCCAATTCAGGCAGCATGTATTCCTATTTTGTTGAATGGAAAAGATGTGGCTGCTGAGGCAGTAACTGGAAGTGGCAAGACCCTGGCATTTTTAATTCCTCTACTGGACCTTCTGCAGAGGAGAGAGGACCAGTGGAAGAAGATTGAAATTGGTGGAATCGTCATATCGCCAACGAGAGAGTTGGCCACACAAATTAGTGAGATTTTGGAGAAATTCCTGGTGAAGACAACGCTGAAACAAGTTCTATTGGTAGGTGGTACTACTCTGAAGGAAGATATAGCGAGTTTGAAGAAGGGAGTGAATATTATTGTGGCAACGCCTGGGAGACTTGATGATGTACTCACCAATTGTAAGGATGTTAATTTAGTGGCAAGTGTTAAATCACTGGAGCTTCTGGTTCTGGACGAGGCAGATCGTCTCCTGGATCTGGGTTTCTCCACAACCCTGAATTCAATATTCAGTTATCTCCCGAGACAGAGGAGAACGGGATTATTCTCAGCGACTCAGACGAAGGAATTGCAACAGCTGATTCGTGCTGGTCTGCGAAATCCCACTCTCGTCTCGATCAAGGAAAAATCGTGTGTCTCCACTCCCCTGTTGCTCAGCAATTACTACACGATAGTCTCAGCTGAGAGTAAACAGGCATCTCTCATCCATTTCATCATCTCCAAGGGGACGAGCCTGAAGTACATGGTGTTCTTCTCAACCTGTGCCTGCGTCGACTACTTCAGCCACATCCTGAAATCAATGCTACCAGGAGCAAAGGTCCTGGCACTTCATGGAAAGATGAAGGGAAAACGTCACAAGATCTTCGACGAGTTTCGACAGATTGATTGTGGAATTCTTGTCTGCACAGACGTAATGGCACGTGGAATTGATATTCCAGAAGTTGATTGGGTCCTCCAGTACGATCCACCGTCGACTGCCAGCAGTTTTGTTCATCGCTGTGGGAGAACAGCTAGAATTGGCAACGAAGGGAACGCCCTGGTCTTTCTCCTGGAGACCGAGGACGCCTACATCGACTTCATAAAACGAAATCAGAAGGTCGAGATGGGGGAAATTCAGGTGGAGGTCGAGAAGAATTTCATCGAGAAGTGCCTGAAGTGCATGAGAAATTTACAGATGAAGGATCGTTTGATGTTCGATAAAGCAAATCGTGCATTTGTGTCGTACATTCAGTCTTACAATAAACACGAGTGCAATTTAATTCTGCGATTGAAGGATCTGGATTTTGGGGGTATTGCCATGTCCTTTGGACTTCTCCAAATGCCAAAAATGCCGGAGCTCAGGGGACGTGATCTCTCGGTTTTTTGTGAGGCCAACGTAGACGTTAATAAGATCGCATACAGAGACAAACAGCGAGAGGTAAAACGCCTTGAAAAACTCAGTATTTATCACGACACGGGGATCTGGCCGAGCAAGGATAAACGAAGGGCTAAGCAAAGTGAGCCTTGGTCTGAGGCGAAGAAGAAAAAAATGGAGAGACTGGAGAAGAGAGGTAAAAAAAAGGAGAAGAGGAATAAAAGGATCGAGACTGCTAATGCAAAACCTGTTAAGAAAAAGAGGAAAGCTACCCTCGAGGATATCGAGGAGCTTGCGAGGGACATCGCGTTGATTAAAAAATTGAAGAGGAAAAAGGTAATTCTTGTTAATTCTAATTATCCAATAAATTACACCAAAATTTTAAGAGAATTCCCATAAACTCCCGAAGTAAATCCACAGAAAATTCCCAGGTCTTTGCGTTCATTCTTTTTCCTACGTATTTATAGCCGCGGTCCAACGATAAGATAAACATCCTTTCGAAAATGATAAACCCCAGAATTTCATGCCTTTCAGATATCGCAGGAGGATTTCGACGAGGCGTTTGGCGTGTAAAATATTTTATAATTCAAACAAGAAGTGATTGAAAAAAATGTTATTCGTGATTTTTTGAATAAAAATCGGGACTGAAAGGTCCTTGGAGAAACTCATGAGTTTGTTGTCTCTTTCTTCTCTCTCTCCATCTCTGTTCCCTTGTGTTCTGGGACTGGGGGCTTGGGGCCTGGGAGCTTGGGGCCTGGGGGGGCCCCCTCCATTCCCTCTGCACATGGTCCTTTGTACTTTCAGCTCTCAGAACTCTACGAAATACGTGAATGACCTGCGTTTTGATCCAGTGATGAAAACGTAGTGGCGTTATCGTAAATATAAGGGACTCAGGACATTCCTCCAGGGCCATTGACTCTGTCACCGAAAAATGTGCGTAAAACGATTGAATTACCGTCTTATATTACACACACATGTGGATATTTAGTCTGACTCAACGTATCTGGGTGGGGGTAGTGAGTCAGAGTGCAACTCATACTCAGAACGAGAAGAATATTTTCTGCAGTCAGCAGTTGTAGTTGAATGAAATTGTGGGTGTGGGAGATTAAAGTACTTGAAGCAATATTCGTTGGTTTATTGAAGGAGATATTAATGGAAAATTACTAGATAATTCATGGGGCACAACACGCAAATGGAGCAAGAGGCCAATCGCCCCAAGTGGCTCCTGGAGCTGGAGAATCGGAAAAGAAAAGTAAGTTTATGGTTTTCATTTTTATTATATTTTAATTTTTTCCTTGAATACTATATTTTGGATATTTTTTTGAGGGGCAAGGAGAATTACAGGATTAATCACAGGATATGAGTGTATAAATTAAATTTGGGGGGATTGCGGAAAAGTTTGGGTTGTGGAAGTCTCACGTCATCTTTCCGGGAAAGGATAATTTGAATTCATTTTATCAAAAGTCGTTGGAAGGTTTAATTGAATTTAAATTTTGTCATTACCTTGCAGCCGCGTCTGGCCCACGAAGTAGGTGCAGGATCTCCTTGCATAAAGTGCACAGTGTCGTGTCCGGGATTGGACCTCCACTTCTGGCGTAAAATTTGCAAAAATTGCAAGTGCAGCCGAGACGATCACGATGTGCCCGATGAGGATTTCCCACAGTTCGATCTGCTCTTCGGTCCCAGTGGGGCCCCCAAGAAAAAATCAATAATCCTCAAGAGAAAATCAAACGAGGAGACATACGAATGGGCGCCTCCAGACGCCTCGAAGGAACTCGCCATCGACTACATGAAGGCCCTCCCCGAGGACAAATTGCCAATAAAGGGAACAGCTGGTGCTGCTTTGAGGAAGCAACAGCTCCAGAAACAACTTCCTCTCCACGATATCGATCACAAGGTGTGCGACGAGCTGACCGATTCCGAGAGGAAACAATTTGAGAAATATTTGGAGAACTTGAAGAAATACGTTGGACAGGGGAGAGTTTCCAAATTTACGACAGCTCGACCCTTTGATAGAGCCATGATGACACCTGCCAATGCCTCTGAGTGCTTCAGTCCCAAGCACAAACCCTCACCAATACTCGGTAATTCCCCGAATCTTCGGACCCCAAGTAGTTTCGTACAGAAAAAATCTCATCTGTCTCGAGACAAAAGTCCAACTGATCCGATTCTCGCGTCGACTAAACGTGAGTTCCTGGTGAATCCACCATTCGATAAATTCTCCAGCGAGTCATCAAAACTGGGTCAATACCAGATTTCTGGAAATATCAGTAGAATTCCACAAGACGAGACAACAGCTGTCCCTCTAGGGGCTCCAGGATCTCACAGCACCCCAGGAAATCTGATCTCAAAAGACTTTTGTCCAAGTGATCCAATTCTAACCTCAAGTAAACGAGAATTTTTGTCAAATCCCTCAGCTGATCAGTTCTTCAGTGAAGCATCGAGACAAGGAACACCTCACCAGATGTCTAGAGATATTAAAAACGAGTTTCCTCAGACTCCAGCAGTTTCTGGAGCTGACAATCCTGGAATAAATCTATCGAATGGCATTCGAAGGGACATCTCCAATCCACCAGTTCCTCCTGAGCTCCCAGGATGTTATGCACTGAATTCCACAGGTCAGCCAGAAATCCTAAAAGACTCCATGAACACAGCCCTACACTTTGCTCAGTCAAATCTCTACCCTGAGCACCCTGGGACCATCAGTAACACTCTTCCCTGTTATCCCCAGTACCAGAGAACTGGTGGAGTGAAGCTGGATCACGTAGTGAATGACAATAAACCCCTGAGATCTCATCAGTGGGCGAAAAAGCTGGAGAAACCGATCAACTCACACGATGACAACTCCATTCTGGCTGAGCAGATGCTGTCAGAAGCCCTTTTGCCACCCAGTTCAATCAACTCAAACGACATTATTGCTAGTACTTTGGATGAGAAGGGACTTTCCTATATCAGGGAGAAACTCTCTTCGAAATACGGAGATAAGGAAGAATCCGATATTCAGAGTCAAATCCCCATGAGATCTAGAGATTTCGAGGGTGGACCTGGCACACGAGATGTCAGGATCACTGACAACACCAGACCTGTGGCCTCTCAGTTGCTGTCGTATGGGGGAATTAATCCGAATGTCATTCATTCTGTCAATCAGCAGAATCCAGTGTTCCCTGAGGCAGCTGTTGGTACTGTCAGGACAATGGAGCATCCGGGGGTTAATCGGCTAACCTCGGCTGTGGAAAATATGACGATTTATCCGATTAAGCAGAAATGCCAACAGTGTGCCGAGGATATTGTTCTCGGGGATGTCATTGTCACTGCTGAACAGGCGAAAGACGCTGCCTGGCATCCTGGCTGTTTTGTCTGTTCAGCATGTGATGAACTCCTCGTTGATCTCGTTTATTTCTACCACAAGGGTAAATTGTACTGCGGTCGTGACTTCGCCGCTCTCCTGGAGATACCCAGGTGTTTCGCTTGTGATGAGGTAAGTCCTGGTTTCCTTGGAAAGTTAAAGATAAGTCCTTCCTGGAATTAATTTCATTATGTTTAATGATTCATTTGGTTTTTTTCAGTTGATTTTCGTGAGGGAATATACAATAGCGGAGGGTCACAATTATCACGTGAAACACTTCTGCTGTTGGGATTGCGATGAGCCTCTCGCTGGAAAGCAATATATCTCCGAAAGTGATCGACCACTTTGTCTTCCATGTTACCAAAAGACTTACGCAAAAACTTGTTCTGCGTGTAATAGAGTCATTGCCGCTGACCAACAGGGGGTCAATGTGAAAAATCTGGACTTCCACGCCTCCGAGGAGTGCTTCTGCTGTGCCAATTGCAAAAAAAGTCTTCTCAATGGTAGAATGGCTATCAAAGAGAACAAACCATTCTGCAGCAAAGAATGCATCACAACATTCCTAAATAAAATATAATTGATACTTGGATATTTCGGTGAAATTTTGTACTGATATCGACACGATTTATAGAATAAAGTACTTTTATTTTATCATCAACGTTCAAAAAAATTTACAAAGAGTATCGAGTCATTGTAATGTTAAACATTCATTTACTCCAGCAACATTTAAACACAAATATTTTATCAGATACCAACAGCTCTCGTCTATCATTCAGAGATACGAAAAATATATTTTTCAATATGTAACTGCCAGTATCTAGGCTGTTGGGAGCCAAAGAAATGAGAAGTAAATTCAATAATAAAAAATTAATGTGGGTCAGAGCATTGTAATTCAATTGCCGAATATTTCGTTGGAACAGTAAAGGAGTTTACAGAATTAAACAAATTATTCTTCCTCTGCAATAATTTGCTACTGAAATGCAAACTATGTCCATAATTAATGAGAACGTCTGATTTCTGATTTACGTTTTATCGTTTTGCTACAGAAATTATGTAAATTACTCCAGCAAACTTATTCATAAACTTTCCTTCCTGTTTAACAGCGAGCAAGAAAAAAAGGGGAGGTACATTAGAAGACTCAGAAAAAATCTCCCTCACGGCGTCTCACTCTGAATCACTATCCACGACATTTTTAATTCTCTTACGGAGCTCTTTGTCTGGAGTGACTGAGGGTGACGATGACTGTGGAGTTGCACTTCGCTTTCTGGGGGTTTTAGCTGTTCTTGAGCGAGTCACACGTCCTAGAATAAAACTCAATTATGAATAAGAAAGATTTAAAGAGTTAACCCGAATAGAATATTCAAACCTTCAGAGATAATGTTCTGGGGATCGAGTTCTGCCAATTCTTTGGCTCTATTCAATTTTTCCTTCAACTGCCTACACTTCTCCATCGACGGCCTTCCACTGATTCCATTCTTTTCCAGAAGTTCTTTCATACGTCTTAGACGTGCAGCATTGGTTTTACACCCAGCCCAGAGTTCATCGAATGATTTCACACGAATGCCTGCTACATTCAAGTACTTCTTCATAGATTTAATCCTTGTGTCTTTCTCTGGTGGCTGAAATATTGAATTCATCAATTAAAATTGCCCTTTACCTTATCTTCTGAATTGAACCTATCGATTTTATTTGATTAAATAACTGAGTAGTTTTACCCCATTATTCCCCTTTCTTTTTCTGTTTCCCTTGTCATCTGAGTCTCCTCCATCATCCTCAGACTCATCATCACTCCTATCAGACCCTGATTTCTTGGAGTCCTCGCTCTCATCCTCATTCGCTTTCTCTTTCTTTTTCTCGCCAGATTTATCCGATTTATCTTTATTATCTTCCTTTTCGATTTCCGCAATTTGTTTCTTGGGACGTCCGCGTTTCTTCTTGCTGTCTGCAGGAGGTTTCACAGGTGCTTTCTTCGTGGGCCTTCCTCTCTTGCTCTTCTTCCCAGATTCCGAGGCATTCTCCTCCTCGGAATCAACACCCGATGTCTCAGCGGACTCCTCATCCTTCTTCACCGATGACTCCTTATCCTTTGATTTCACCACCGCCTCGTCCTTCTCCTCTTCCTTCTCTTCCTTCTCTTTCTTACCCTCCTCCTCTTGATTGTTCGCCCCTTCATCCTCTGAACCACTCACTTCAACTTCAGAATCATTAGCTTTCGCTTTAACGATAATCGTCTTGGGTCTTGGCTTTTTTGTCTTCTCATCCTCACTCTCAGAACTCGTCTCTTCCTTGTCACTGGCGCATTCAACAGACATTTCCAACCCATTCACCACCTCTGGCTCTTTCGATTTAGATGTCGTCACTTTTGATTCCTCTGTGGACTTTTCCTGCTCCTTCTCCAATTTTTCTGACTCTTCACCCTTCTTCTCTTCCCGTTTATCGATTTTCTCACTCAATTCTGTTGCTCCTTGTTCTAGTGATTTATCTGATTTCTTCACCTCGGTATCTTTTTCAGTGCCGTTGGCTTTCTTCGAGGTCTCACTTTCGTTTTCAGAACTCTCTTCCTTTTTCGCTCTCTTCGCTGATGCATCCTGCTCTTCCTCCTCACTCGTTTCCTCCCTGGGACGTTTTTTCACCTCCTCAGTGTCCATTTTATTATCTGATTCCTTCAATTTTGACGCACTGGGACTCTCCAGGGTCTTCACATCCACCGTCTCGCCCTCAACCATGACGAATATCTGGTGTAATCAGATAAAAATATTCAAAGTCAACAAAAAATGATGAAACTATGACATTATGTCATCGAATCAAAATGCTCTTTAAGAGAATGAGGCAACTTTTCCTGTGCAATTAATTTGCATATATAATTGGAATTCCAATGATCCAATCCTAAGATGAACTCATGAAAATGTGATCACCCATGACCTTCTAAATCCCATATTGAACACATCTTCGGTTTTCACTCTAGAGCCGGCCGCTCGGAATAAAAATTATCCAAAACAGCACAAATACCTGGATAACTACAAAAAAAATTCATGCCAATTGTAGCCAGGACGTTTTTTAATCTATTAAAAATACCGAAGCGACAGATGAATTATTGTTTCCGTTCTCATGAGTATAGAACAGAGATAAAACAAATCCCAATGTCGACGAATAATCAGGTCCTCGAAGCCGAGGTACATGGAGTGAAACATAAATTAGTATTCGTCTACAAACCTGGAGGGATGACTTCTGAAAACTATTGTAGACTGCTTCAGGAAAATATTTCGATATTTATCTTGATGAACGTGAGAATGTGCACCTAGAGTTTGCGCGGGATAAATCTACGCGGCAACGGTGTGACCGCCATGTTCTATTTATTTTTTAACGCCCGGCCCAAAGAGGATTGACTGAAGTAGAGGCACAGTTCTGGGCGTTTGAGTGACCCAGCGGCATCGTAGTACTGCACCCCAAGAGATGGAGGGCGCAACACCCAAATGCTGGGGTGTCCATTAAATCGACGGGGTGAATTTTATTTTCTGCGATATGAATGCTCTTTGTTTTTTATTTATTTAACTGAAATTTAGCCGACTGTAGAAAGAGCGGAAGGGGGAAACCACATCTTGTGGAATTTCAATGAAAAAAATTATTCAATATACTGAAGATATATCACTAATGAAAATATATTTTCAGGATGAGCGAGTTGTCCTAGCGGTAACGTGCTCGACTGGCACGCCGGCGGCCCGGGTTCAATCCCGGCATCATTCATTTTTTTTTTTTAAATAATTCCAATTTTACCTTTTTTCAATTGGCTAATCAATCTAAATATCGTTTAAACACTGAATTTTTGAAAAGCGGAAAGATATCCTGTGAATTTGATAAATTAACAATTTTTTAAAACGATACTTTTGCAAAATATATACTCCTAATGAAATTATTTTATTGTAATGGTGCGTTATCCTAGCGGTAACGTGCTTGGCTA